GCGTACATGCTTTTACGATTTACAAACGGGAATCTGTATGCTTCACAACATTGCGTAATAATAGACATAGCTGGCTTAAAAGGCTGTTTTTGTGCTTTACAGATAAGCAGCTGTTCGTGGTCCGTAAGCCCCCTGATGTCCAAGCTCCTCCTCATGCTGCCACCCCAGCTTTCCCTCGAAAACCACATTTGTCGTTGCTCTTGCCACCTTGATCGTCGCCTTACCGGCTTGTTACTCCCCGGCTGTCTACCTATCCTCCTCTCTTGTTTCTCGCCGTGCTAGCCCTCCCCATTACCATGTTAGTCACCTTGACGGCAAGAGATTCCGCCGTCTTCAACATGATAAGCCGAGCACGTGGTCAAGAACGAGGCGTCGCCGTAGAGGTCATCTCATACCCGTTGGCTCGCCTCTGCTTTCAGCTCCAGGATCCAAGGGTATGTCTTGGGCTCGCACCCTCTCCTGAACCTTCTCCGCATGCTGCCAATGCTTCAAGCACTCAGCCTCGGTGTTGCCGCGGAGGCACCGGTCGTGGTTATAGCAGACTCTCGGCCAGTGGTATACTGTGCCGTGCCATGATCTTGCGGGTGGGGTTCTCATGGATCGAGAGGTAGTGGTATCCGGCGTGGTTGGGATTCAAAGGCGTGCGCCGGGTCTGCGCCGCTCATCGATAATCTCGGGGAGCTGGTCAGGGTATTGAGTCTTAACAGGTGGATGAGCTCCCGCAACAAGCCTCGGGGATCCTTTACCAACTACAAGTGTAGATCGTTGACTTCTGGAGGCACTCAAATCGGCCTCCTCTACCGGTAAAAACGACTCGAGGTGGCGCAGAGTGGCGCCAAGGTAGGCCGGGGTGTGTTTGGTGCTCGAGCGACCAATGCTGAGACATTCCGTAGCCTCTATCATCGCGTGTATAGGTAGGCGAGCGCGCAAATCATTAGATAAGTTAGGAATGAAGCCCAGGGCGTCGACTAGCGAGGGCCCATAGCGCTAGTCTCAATGGTCACTTATCCTCGCCCTGTCCCAGTCGTCGACGCGGGCCGTGATCCGCGAGTGCTCGAACCTTCGAGCGGCTGCAGTCTTGCGTGGATCGATCGCCTTGTACGCGCTGTCGGCGTTGCGGTCAGGCGAATCCTCGTGAGCTGCCTCTATCATCTATTCCACGCCTGCGCCGGCCCCAGTGTTTCCTTTGACTTGTCAACATTTAACATGAAGAGGAATCTACGGGCCCAGCTGATCACAAACTCCGTGTCCGACCCGACCATGAAGCGGATCCCGAAAGACGATTCTTGCGGACCAGGTATAACAGAAAGGAGTAGAGGCCCCAATGGAACCCTCTCGTCTCCTTCCAGTACTCTCTTCTCCCTGACGGGTAGTTCCGTCAGCGGCTGATGGAACAAACGAAAGTCGTGGTGGTAATTGCCGAGGGTAAATGAGCGGCTACATGCCAACGCCTGAAAGGGATTGAGGGGTATCGGCACAACAAGAGGAGTACCGGTCGGTGTCGGCTGTTGCGGTCCGCCCGGCTGGTGCCCGTGGCAGGAAGTTCAGGCTTGACATGGAGTGTCCTGCCGGTAGTTGTGCGGTTGCCGTCGGCGGCTACTGCAGGGATGCCGTCTGAAGGAGTTTTTCATACTGCAAAGCTCCCACACCTCACTGCCGACCTATCCACCTCCGGAACACCTAAGCGTAAGCCAGTCTTCAATTATGGCACGCTTGAGCATGGCAGGCAGGGAGGCGGCGCTCTTCTTTGGCAATATAAACAGCCACGCCCGGTTTCGCCATTCGTCTCTGTCATCTTCTCAGCATCTACCTCATCTTGCAAGCCCGCCCAATATATCCTCATGGCTCAACCCATCATGGCAACGCTTCTCCTGGCAGCTACTGCCTTCCCCCTGCTCTCCCTCGGAGCTCCCCTGGCGGCCCCCTGCACCAAGGTAGATCTCCTTGCTGCAGCAGACGCCTACGTCGCCGCCCAGACCATAGGCAACCTCTCCGCCCTCGCCGCCTTCGCCGGCACGGACGGCTGGACCTACGTGCAAAACAACCAGCCCACCGACCCCTCCTCCCGGGCCAGCGTGCTCACCAAGCCCCTTGTCATCGACCACCGCCGCACCAACACGGACCTCGTCCAGTGCGCGACCTACACCGAGCTCATCTCCGCATCCGGCCCTTACGTCATCGGCACGCAGATCCACCACTCCCCGTCGAACCCCTCAAAGATCTCCCTCGTCGACAGCGTCGCCTCGACGCGCGGCAGCTGGCTCTTCGACGCCGCCAAGACCCTCTCATATGCGCGCGCCGAGTCCTGGGCGCCCATCCCGAAGCCCCGGCAGGACGCGCGCGCGGCCATCAAGGCCGCGGGGGACGCGTACATGGACATGTGGAGCGACGCGGCGGCGCACCTGGCCGTGCCGTGGGGCGCGCCGTGCGCGCGGCTCGAGGGCGGGGCGTACACGGACGGGAAGGGCGCGGGGTCTGATACGTGCTCGCTGGGCATCCCGTCGAACCACTCGCAGGCGCCCAATTCGCGCAGGCGGTACGTGGTGGACGAGGAGATGGGATCCGTCAGCATCCTGTGCGTGTGGGAGCACATGATGGACGCGGCCGACTCGCACGAGTTCAGGCTCGAGGGCGGGAGGCTGCGCTACGTGCACACCATGACGGAGTGCGGGGGGAGGACGTGCCGGCTGTGAGGGGGCTTCGGCGTCACGAAGCGTCAAGGGGGTGGGTAGGGCGTCGAAATCAGTGTATACCCGAGTACCTACAGCTTGTGAACACGGGGATCTTCTAGACTAAGGAGATCGCTAGCACAGCTCTTCTGCTCTATTCTTTGTGAGAAATCACGTCATCACCAGCGTAGACGGGAGTACGAGTCCAGTTCGGAGCGAAAAACGACCCGTTAGAACAACGGTCGAGGCCAAAGGAGCGTTCAGAGATTCGAATAAAGGAATATCCATTGCTAGCAACAAAACAAACCGCCACGAGGGGAAAAGGCCAGTAGGTACAGGAGGAAGAAATCAGTAGGTACAAGAGGAAGAAAACAGTAGGTACAAGAGGAAGAAAACGGTAGAACCCAGTGGGCAGACAAGCGCCACGCCAGGAGGAACGCGTAAAAAGCAAGAAATTCACAAGGAACAAAAAAGAGCAAAAGAAACAGCCGGCCCAGACGGGACCGGCATAGGCCATGGCGGTGCGGACGCGACAGAGTGGCCCCATGGCGGTCTTTCCCCGATCGATCATGCCGGGCCTACTCCTCGGCCGGAGCAGCCCTCTTGTTCTTCTTGCACTCCAAGAGCTTCCGGGAGTAGTCGCTCATAATTTTTTTGCGGCCGTCGATGCACTCTTGGCTGACGCATACGGCGGCGTCAAACCCGGGAGCGCTCGGGGGGCACGCGGCTCGGGCCTCGAGCAGGCCCCTCTTGCCCATCTTCTTGCACTCCCTGCGCTTCCGGGAGTAATCGCTCATAAGTTTTTGTTGCTCGTCGGTGCACTCTTGGGTGAGGCACGGGACGGCGGCAAAGACGGGAGCGCTCGGGGGGCACGCGGCCCGGGCCTCGAGCAGGCCCCTCTTGTTCTTCTTGCACTCCCTGAGCTTCTGGTAGTAGCTGTCCATAATTTTTTGGCGGCCGTCGGTGCACTCTTGGGTGTCGCATACGACTGCGGCAAAGACGGGAGCGCTCGGGCACGCGGCCCGGGCCTCGAGCGCCCCCTCGTGGGCGCCGCCGGCGGAGGGCGTCGCGGCGACCTGGGCCACTAGGAGCGACAGCAAAGCAGTGGCGAGGGTTCCGGCCGAGAACTGCATGGCGATGGTCCGGGCGGTGGTTGTAGAGGTAGCAGATGGTTGTTGCGGTTTGTAGGTGGGATATAAGAAATCTCACAAGTGAAAAATATAACAGAAGTACAAGAGACAAAAGGAAAGGGACAAAAGGAAAAGATAAAATGAAAAGACAAAAGGAAAAAAGATGATGAAAAGGTGGTGATGCTGACGATGAGGTTGAGGGTGAAGGGAAACAAGATAGGTTTGCCAGATGGGAGGACTGACGATATTTATCTCCTGACCCGGCAGGGTTCAATGTTGATTGTCGTTGCGCCCGGAGACTATTTTCTTGCGCTTGGCAGCAAGGCTGAGCTCTGTTTCCAACCCCGGCAAACTTTATGCCCAACATCAGGCGGCGCTTTGGCCTGTTCCAGAAAAGGGGTTAAAACTGGAGATCACAGGGGTAGCGAAAGGGGGGTCACGTGCTGGCATAAAGTCACTGCCATTGTTGAGGAAAAGCTTTCAAAGGACGAGAAATTCTTAAAGTCTCGTGACATCCCCCCAAGTCACCACGACCCCTGCGATCTCCAGTTTCAACCCCCCTGTTACCCACCTGTTACTGGGTGGGTTTTTCCTCTTTATTACCCTTGCAGATGGTACTCGAGCTTGGACGTCCCCTGGCTGTGTTTTATTTTTACATCCGCGTCCCCCAGCAAACTTCCATTTCGGGAATCTGCCATGAAAATGACGTGGACACACTTTGCCAAATCCAGGTCCTGTCCATCAAACAAACACAACCTGGTCCTGCACGCGATGCGGTGTCCCATCTTATCGACGAAACGGGACAAAACATCACATCACTGCCTTAACCCCATTCAAATGGCCAGCTTGTTCCCCTTCATCCCTCCGAGCACACCCAGCCTCAAAAAGTCGTGGTCCTCCCGCAGCCGCCTGCCGACCGCGCCCGCCACGAGCTCCTCGACGTCCCACGACGCCCACACGAAGCGCCCGTGCAGGAAGCGGGCCGCGGGCGAGGCGAGCCACACGGCAAAGGAGCCCGGGAGGTCGAAGCTGTCAAAGGGCGTGTCGTCGGGCCCCATGTCGTAGGTGTCGCGCCAGACCTCGCTGTGCAGCACGCCCGGGTGGAAGCTCACGACGCGCAGCTCGTCCGGGTCCAGGTCCTCGGCCGCCACCTGTAGGGCCATGGTGCCGGCGTGCTTGGTCAGGCCGTAGGACGGCAGGCTCGAGATGAAGGAGTCGTTTGTCTTTTCGACCATGTTGATGGCGGCGGTCGAGACGTTGATTAGGACCTAAGTGTGGTGGTGTGGTAGAGTTAGTAATGGCGTGCCGTTAGGGTGCGAAAGGGGAAGACGAGAGTGGGCGTACCTTTGGGAAAGGCTTCCCTTCCGGCGAGGCCTGTTCCGAGAATCTCTGGGTAAATTGGAGCGGACCTTTGACGTTGGCCACGTAGCTGGCCCAGACGTCCTTGTATCCAAGCTTGATTATGGACCCGGGGGTCACTTGGAACCTCGCCGCATTGAGGATGAGCACGTGGACCGGCCCGACGTCCGGGTCGGACCAAAGCGCGTCCACCTCGTCCTCGGCCGCCACGTCGCAGCGCTTGGCGACGATGACGGTAGGAGACGACAGCCTCGCAGCTTCCCGCTGGAGGGTCTCGCGGGCCGAGGCGAGCACGCCGTCGCGGCGGCCGGCGATGACGACACGAGCGGCCTTGGCGGCCACAAACGCCATGCCCATGGCCAGGCCGACGCCCGTGCCGCCGCCGGTGATCAGGACCGTCTTGCCGGCCTGGCTTAGCTCCTCGCGCAGGGGCGAGATGGCGGGGTAGGCGGCCGAGTGGACGGTCTTGGTGACGTTTGTGTCGAGCGCCTCCCTGAGGGTCTTTCGGATGGCCTCAAGGGCTGGGTTGGCCGTGGGCTTGGACATTATTCAGCTAAAGGGGGGGTTGAGTCGATGGTTCTGGGGAGATCTGGGCGAGGCGGTGGTTGGAGCGGAGGATGCAGAGATGGGGTGGTGAGCTGTGGGAAAAGTCATGTCTGCATATCTCGAGCTTGCAGCGCACTTATATAGTCGGCTACAAAGTACACATATCGTGAACATGGGGTCGGATTCCCGGGCGGTGGGCATCCAACGCTGGCCCCTAACTTGCTCAACAACGCTGTCACATCAGTAAGCACGACGGGGGCACGTTGCGTTGCCGAGTCCGCCTTCTAGGTCTAGCGATAGCATCACCTTCTCAATGGGCGCGACACTGCTCTCGCGCTGTGGGGCGCTAGGCCGGATCGAGACTGCGTTTACGAGGCGGTGAATGACTTCGCGTCTTACAAACAAGCTGTGGAGAAGCCCATAACGTTGACAGCATCCTGTACAAGGCCGCCCCACTCCTTACCAACAACCCATAACGGCATCTCGGCTTACCTAACCGGGCATTCATTCACCCAGCGCTCAGGACCTCGACCTCGACGACCCCGGCCACTCACGCCTTCGCCCGACGCCCACTCGCCGGCTTTGATAGAATCCGCGCACTACCATCGTCGGCATGCGCCTGTCGCGCCATGCGGGAGCGTCGCAAAGAAGTGCACGGCGCCAACCCTAACCCTGGTTAAGAGGGAGGGGGTGGTGCCTGCCTTCCGGGTCTTGGTCGATGGCAAAAAGCCGGGAGAGGTGGAAAAGGCCAAAGCGGGGTTTGCGATTGGCTAAAAGCGACGAAAAGGCCGGGCTGGACGAGATAGACCGAAGGCATCTGTCATGACCTGATGGAGTGGAGGAAGGCCAGAAATCAGTTTATGACTCGAACCATCCGCTATCACAAATTGTTGGCAGCGCAACATGTAGACCAAATGGTTGATCTTTATTTTCAGGAACTATCAAGAGACGTTTTCAAGGGTAGGAGACCCTTGGGCTCGATGGAACTCTAGGAGAGGCTGCTGAGAGTAGGAGACCCTCGACTCTAGGTATGGGTGTGTTGCAAGGATACCGAGCGCTGGCTCAGCCCTGGCCGCATGTCTCCCATCTATACTCGCTTCCGACATCCCTTCCACCCTGCCTTCTTTTTTTCGCCTTTTTCCTCTTCATTTTTTTTGTCATTTTTTTGTCTTTTTCTCATCTTTTCTCATTGTGGCGGCGTAACAGGGAGCTGTGGGAAGTGCTCGCGCCTCCAGTCCAGATACTCCTTCTGGTCAAACAGCCACCGGTCGACCTGCGGAAGCGAAGAATCCTCATCCTCCTCGCCCCAGTTGCTCGTCTTCCCCACGCCGTCGTGCCAGACCTCCAGCCTGTGCTGAAACGACGGCCTCCCCTGGCCCTGCCCCTCGCGCGGGGCCGGCGGCGCCGCGCCGCGCGACGCCAGCAGCTCCACGGCTGCGTCGCGCCCGCCGGCGGCGGCCTTGGAGTACCTGTAGATGCCGGCGAACTTGGGGCCGACCTCGAGCATGTAGTCGAAGAAGGTGCGTCCCTCGCGGTCCTTGGCGCCCAGGTTCGCGCCGCGCGAGACCAGCAGCTTCACGACGTCGTCGAGCCCGTCCTGCGGCAGGCGGCGGAACTCGCGCATAAGGCCGGCGTTGTTGGCGAGCGCGTGCAGCGGCGACGCGCCCACGTCGTCGCGCGCGTCCGCGTCGGCCCCCAGCCCGAGCAGCGTGTGGGCGCGGTGGCGGAGTATCACGAGCTGCTGCACCGACGAGCAGACGAGGTGGAGCGCCGTCCTGCCGTGCGCGTCCCGCGCCTCGAGGAGGCCCGCGCCGCGGGACGACAGAAGCCCCGCGACCGACGAGAAGGTGATGGGGGCGTCGTCGATGCGGCCGCGCTGCGCGAGCGAGTGCAGCGCCGTGCCGCCCTTGGCGTCGCGTATGTCGGCGTCGGCGCCCCGGCCCAGGAGCTCGCGGGACCACTTGAGGGCCGCGTCGATGCTGCTCTGCTTCTCGCACGCGACGTGGAGCGCGGTCCGCCCGCGGCCGTCGCGTGCGTTGACGGCGTCGCAGGACCCGGATCCGGGGCCCCGGGATATGAGGAGGTCCAGGACGTCGTCCAGGTCGCTCCGGTCCGGGCCCCCGGCCGGGTAGGCGTGCGGGTTGATGACGAGGGAGTGGAGGAGGGGGTTGCCGCCCATGTCGCGGCCCTTGGCGTCGGCGCCCCAGGCCAGGAGGGTCTGGCACCACTCGAGCATGTCCTGGTCCGGCGTCCGCTCGAGGCAGATCAGGTGCAGCGCCGTCTGGCCGCGCCTGTTCCTCGCGTTGACAAGGTCCGAGGCGGCCTCCATGGCAGGCAGGTCCGCCTTGGTCGGGTCCGGGAGGACCGTCTGGAGGAACGACCTTGCGCGCCCTGCCTTCTTCTCGCAGGAATCCTCGCCGGGCCGCCACGATAGAGCGTGCAGCGCCGTGTCGCCCGCCGAGTCCCGGGCGCCAAAGTCGGCCCCGTGCCTGGCCAGCGCTTGGAAGACGGGCCCCAGCTCATGCTCGGGGATCGAGACGATGCAGGCAAAGTGCAACGCCGTGCGGCCGTGTTTCTTGGAGCGCGAGTTGACGTCGGCCCCCAGCTCGCACAGCGTGTCGATGCACTGCACAAAGGGATAAGGGCCTTGCTGGACGCCCTTGAGAGAGCCGCCAGAGGGCGTGGACACGAACATGGTCTGCAGGGGCGTGATGCCCTTTGCGCCGTGCCCGTCGGCGGGGCAGCCGGCCTTGACGAGGTCGTGGATCAGCTTGGTGATGCGCTGCGGCTGGAAGCGGAGCCATTTGTCGCCGAGCTGGCACATGAGAGCGTGGAGCGCCGTGTCGTGCCCGTTGTCCTCGCCCGTGCCGCCGCGCGCTCCCGCCTCCAGCAGCAGGGACATGACCTCGGGCGTCGCCCCCGCCAGCGGCGGCTGGGTGCCCCCGTTCGGGCCCGCCCCTGCCTCGAGCAGCATCTTGATGGCGTTCAGGTCGCCTCCGTGCGCCCGCTGGTATCTCACGGCCGAGAGCAGAGGCGTGGTCCCGATGTGGTGGCCGTCCGCGCCGCTGGGGTCGGCACCGCGTGCCAGGAGGAGGCGGACGGCGGGCCAGTTCTGCCACGCGGCGGCACATGTGATCGGCTTCAGCCCCCGGTCGTTGGCGGCCTTGGGGTCTGCTCCGGCCTCCAAGAGGACCTTGAGCGTGTCCGACTGCGACTTGGCAAAGGGCTGTCGCACCGCGGCGTGCAGCACCGTGTTGCCGTCCCCGTGCCTGTCTGTCCCGGACAACTTGACGCCCGAGGCCAGGATCCAGCGTACGATGTGCGCGCTGTCCATAGCGGCGGCCCGAAACAGCGGCGTGGACTGCTTGGCGTAGTACCTGGTAATGGCAGGCACCGGCTCCGAATACTCCCCGTGGCCGACAATGTCCACAGGCTGGACCGTCCTCTCCAAGTTGCCGGCGTCCCTTTCGGCCTGGAAGAGGAGCAGACTGCCGGTCAGCACCCCGGCCGCCTGCATAGTCGGCGGCGTCTTTGGTGACCACATGGACTCGTTGGAAAGCACGATGAAGACGGGGTTGGAGCTGAGCTGGGCCGGCCGGCTCTCTCCGTACCCCAGACGCAGCGGGTCATTGAAGAAGGCGGGGATGTGGCGGAGAACCAGGAGGTATCTCTCGGCCACCTTTTCCGGACCAGCCTCTTTGTCGCAGAGAACCCTCGGGTCCACCGCCTTGAGGCAGCAGCCTTCAGAGAGCAGATAGCGCCGGAAGAGCCACGTATAGATCGGCCGTAGCGAAGCGTCGATGTCGACCAGGGCTTCGGACCCGGCCTCGTATCTCTGGCACAGGTTGAAATGGTGCGTGAGGTATGCCGCTGCATATCCGGCGAGGTTGTTCTCATGACTGCCTGCATGGGTGTTGTCGGCACCAGGGTCGGGGCTCTCGCTGCCGTCGTATTCCAAGGCCGACTCTGACCCGGGCTTGACCGGCGGGAACGGGCGCAGGAGCAGGGAAAGCAGGCAGCACTCGGCGGCCGTGGCGTGGGCCAGCGCCTCGGTGGTCGAGCTGGCAAAGGTGACTGTGCCGCTGTCGCCGGGCTTTGAGTTGGGCTTGCGCAGCAGATAGCCCCTGCACGTCTGGTGCAGGAAATACAGCCGTCCTTCCGACACGTGGACGAAGCCGCCGCCCGTCTCGGCGACCCACGACTGGAAGGCAGCGGCGCCGTCGGGATCGAACTGGGCCAGCGAGCGCGTCTTGGGATGCAGCCGGAGCCAGACCGCCGTGCTGGCCTCCTTGACGGACAGGGGCCGCTCGGAAACCAGGACCAGGTTGAGGAGTATGGAGAACATTTGGCGCCGTTCAGGCTTCACGCGGGAGAGGAGGAGGTCGTAGGCGTCATATAGCGTCGCAGGCGGCTTCCTCAGCAGCTTATCGACGTCCTCCTTCAGGTGTACCTTCTTGACGCTCTCGTGGACGAGCTTCAGCCACAAAAAGGTCCGCTCGGCCCTGTCGACCGAGGTGGACAGCAGCTTTTTCTGCACCTTCAGCCGCGTCTCCTCGTCGAACCTATCCTCGAGAGTCTTGAGGTTGTGGTTCAGGACGAGCTCAATCTCCCGGTGCGAGATGTCGCGCTGCTTGAAGGTCTCTGCCGAGATGGTCTCCAGGTTCCCCTCCTGGAGCTCCTCCCTGAGCGTCTGGAGGATGTGCTGCCAGGGCCTGGTGTTGAGCAGGAACCGGATGTTATGAGACCGGGCCTGCTTCAGGAGGTACACAATGTCGACTAATTGATCGGGCAGGCACTCGTCCAGAGCATCGATCACGCACACGACAGGGCGCGCTTTGGGACTGGAGACGGCGTCCAGCAGTATCTCGACCAGGTTGCTGGTGCCCATGGCACCGCTGCCCAGCTGCTTGAGTCGATTCTCCACCACGTCTGCCAGCTCTCTTTGCTGGCAGAGCAGCTGGTGTATTATCGAGTGCAGGGCGTTGGTGGCCGAGTTCATGCCGGGCTGGTCGTAGCGGAAGAAGTAGTGGCAGATGGTGTGGCCCGCCCCCAGATCTGCAGGCAGACGAGTCTCCACCATGAACCTGGCGAGAACGGACTTGCCCCAGCCAGGCCCGGCAGATATATTGAGCACTTTGGGAGCGGCTTTGGCACTCGGACTCGGCTGCCGGTCGCGGGGTCGCTGGCGCGGAGACTCGCCGTTTTCGCTTGCGACCCACCGGCGATAGGCGTCGTCCTTCTCGATCCATTCGCAAGTTCCCTGCACCCTCGCTGGGACATCATTGAAGCAGTCGCCGTAGTTGACGACCTGGAACTTGCGAATGGTCTCGTTCCTCACCTTCTCCATCTCGATGTCCTCAGCCGCCCTTGAGGACTCGACGGCCTCCTGCTGGGTGCCGAGCGTCTGCCCAGAGGTGGTGACGAGGGTGTTGAGGTATTCCTTGACGGCCTCTGTGGAATACTGGTTGATCTCGCTGTGGAGGGAGGCCTCTGAGTCCTTGATGGACTGCAGCAGATTGCTCCACCCGTTCCAGCTCACCAAGTATTTTGCCGCCGCCGTCCGCGGAGACACGTAGGCGCAGACGCACCTCATCTCGAACTCCAGGAGCTTTCGGTAAAGCCTTGTCACCCTGGCGTCGATCTCGCTCCGCAGGTCGTCGAACTGGTCGTCATCTTTCCAACTCTCGGCGAGAAGGAGCTGCACCAGGGCCATATACCACTTGAGCCGGTCTGACAGATGGGCCAGCCCGTCTCCCATGGGCTTGTTCTCAGTGATTGGAGCGAGAAGATTCTATGATATCCGGACATGTTAGTACTACTTGAGACGAGTTGGAGGAGGTGGGGCGGGAGGATGAAGGATGACCGGTTGGAGTTACACTTACGGGTGCGATGACGCAAAAGCCAGCCCAGGCAAAAGAGGCTACTGGGTTTGCCGCAGCCAACTCCGCGACGGTACCCCTGACCAGCCCAAGGACAGCGAGGCTGCCATCACCCACTTCAGCGGGCTTGCCGCCATAGTTGCTTGTCCCCGCCCTCTTGACGACAATGTCCATTGCCTGAAGCCTCTTGGTCATGGCACCGTTGTCCAACAAAGGCGCCGCCACGGGCTCGAACTGCCCCAGTATGCTCTCATACTTGGCAACCAGGCTCGCCGTCTTGTCGCTTGATTTGAGCTGCTGGTAGGCAGCTCCCCAGATCCTCAAGGACTCGCGCTGAGGGATATTGAGGGATACCTCCTCTGCGGTCTGCGTGGGCGGCGTTGGCACCGCGACGGGATTAGGAACGGCCGCTTGGGCAGGAGCTTTGGTGAGCGGAGTGGGAGTCATGGTGGGTGAGACGGTGCGCGGAGCAGGAGCTTGGGAAGCGATGGCATCTTGCGCATCTTGAGCTGGCGCACGAACTGGCGCGCCAGGAGTGATGGCAAGTGGAGATGTCGGCGAAATCGTGCGAGGAACCGGAGATTGAGATTTGGTGCTGTTTTGTCGAGTAGGCGCACGAACCGGCGCGCGAATTGGCGCACGCGCTGGCACAGGAGTCGCCGCACGGACTGGCGCAACAGGACTGATGGCAGGTGCAGCTGTAGGCGAGACTGTACGAGGAGCGGGAGGATGAGAAGGTGTGCTATCTTGTGTATCTCGAGGAGTGGCACGAGCTGGTGAACGAGCTGGCGCAGCAGGAGTAGGTGTGGGTGTGGATTTGGGCGAGGTGGTGGGAGAAACAGTTTTCAAATCGCTGGCATCGTGGGTATCTTTGGTAGACGGAACAACGGATGTGACAGTGGGCTGAATATGAGCCTTCAAAGTGCTGGTATCTTTGGTATCTCGAGTAGGCGAGCGAGTGGGTGGAACAGGAGTGACGGCATGCGCGTTGGGGGGTGAGGTGGCGGACGGGGCAGTAGGTTGAGTAGTGGGCGGAACAACTTGGGAAGCCCTGGTATCTCGGGAGGTGTTGGTATCTTGGGTAGCCGCACTAATGGGCGAACTTTGTGTGCTAGGAGGGGTGCCGATGGCCGAGACTCTGGGAATAGTAGGCCGGACAATGGGTGAAGCAGCTTCAGAGGATCTGGTATCTTGGGAGCTGGTAGTATATTGGGAAGTGCTGGTCTCTTCGGAGCTAGTGGTATCTTGAGAAGCACTGGTATTCGGCCGAGAGGCGCTGGCGTCCTGGGCAGGCACAGCAGCTGGAACTCTGGGCGCCGAGACTGTCGGCAGCACAGCAACTGGCACAGTGCGAGGCACGGAAGCGCTGTTGTCTCGAGCAGGTACAACTGCAGGAACAACTGCAGGTGTAGGGGCATGTGCAGGCGCAGGTGCAGGCGCAACAACAGGCACTGGTGCAGGCTGCGCAGCAGCCCCAACTGCAGGCGCAACGACAGGTGCAGCGATAGGTGCAACGACAGGCGCAACGACAGGCGTAGGGGCAGTCGTCTGAACCGTCTGCGGAACAGCCGTCGAGACTGTGGGCGATACGATGGACCTAGACGGGGCGGCTGACGAGGAGCTGGGCTTGATGGGAGCGCTGTTATCCCTAGCGGGCAAAACTGCAGGCGCAGCGGCAGGCACAGAAGCCGTCGGCTGAGCCTTCTGGGGAACAGCTGCCGAGGCCGTGGGCCTGGACGAAGCGACTTGTGGGGAGCTGGGCCTGACAGAATCGCCGGTGTCCTCAGAAGGGGTAGTTGCAGGCACCACTGCAGGCACCACTGCAGGCGCCGCTGCAGGCGCAGGGGCCGTCGGCGTAACGACGGGCGGCACAGCGGCTGGGGGTGTAGGCCTAGGCTGGGCGGCCAGCGGGGAGCTGGGCCCGACAGAAGAGCTACTATCTTGAGCGGGCACAGCAGCAGGCGCCTTGGCAGGCGCAACAGGCGCGGCGGCAGCCGGAATAGCGGCCGAGGCTGCAGGACTAGGCTGAGCAGCTAGCGGTGGGCTAGGCCTGACAGGGGTGCTAGCGTCTTGAGCAGGCACAACAGCGGGCACAACAGCGGGCCCAACAGGCGCAGCGGCAGGCGGAACTGTTGGCGGAGGAGTGATCGACACCACGGGCGAGACGGCTGGCCTCGACTGAGCGGCCAGCGAGGAGCCTGACCTGACAGAAGAGCTAGAATCTCGAGCAGGCGCGACTGCAGGCGCAATAGCGGGCACGGCGGTAGGCGGAACAGTGGCCGAGACCGAAGGCCTAGGCTGCGCGGCTAGCGGGGAGCTGGACCTAACAAAAGCGCTGGCATCTTGAGCAGGCGAAACGGCAGGCTGAATAGCCGGCGAGATGTTATGCCTGTGCAGAGAGGCTGGTGGGGAGATGGATCTGATGGAAGCGCTGGCAGTCCGACCGCCGGCAGGCCGAAGAGCAGGCAACGCACCCGGCGAGATGGCCGCCGCCGGGACGGTGCGCGTGCTGGCGGCCCGGCTGATGGCCGGGCTGACGGGCGGCAGGGCGGGCGAGACGGCCCTGTAGGTGCTGCCCTGGTCGTGCGCAACCGCGCCGGGCGACACGGCCGGGGCGCGCGTGTAAGTGGTCACCACAGTGTGCGTGACGGTGCGCGTGACTCCCGGCGGGGTGACCGGGGTGGTGACGGACCGGGCGGGCGGGCCCTTGGGGGAGAAGGTGGTGGTGAAGGAGGTGTAGGCGCGCTGGGGCGGCCCCGGCGGCAGGGTGGTGACGGAGCCGGTCGGGCTGACGAGCCCGCCGACGATGGCGTCGTCGGCGCCTGGCGGCCCGCTGGACTTTGAGCGGCGGCGGAAGAAGGGCCGCGCCGCGCCCAGCAGCTCGCGCAGCCGGTCGCGCTTCCGCCGCCTGTTCTCGCCGCTCGCCACCGAGGGTGTCACCATGTCGTCGGGGGGCCCTGGCGGGGTGCTGGTTGACATAATCTTACCCCCGCGGGTAGAAGGCGACACGAGGGACGACGGTGGAGATTGGCAAGTACGAGAGAGAGGACTGCATGAAACAGAGAGAGAGAGAAGAGACAAGAGAGTGGGAGAATGGGCGGGAATGGACCGAGACGGCCCCATCGCCCTTTGTATTCAGTTTGGGCGGTGCGTGTAGACACCCAAGAAAGGGCCGCTTTTACACCAGGCCCCCTGCACGGCGATCCATCAAGAACCAGCCAACCGCAGCGCTCCACGCGCCCTGCCCGCGGCCACTGCGAACTATCGAGCCACCAACCCCCAGCCAGCCAGCTCGCCCACCCCCTTGCTGCAGCGGGCTTCCCCCAAGGCCAGACGAAAAAAGAAGCGGCCAGCGAGGGCCCTGCAAGGTGTCACGGAAGCCCAACCCGTTTTCGTCTCTTGGGCCTCCACCGCTATTCGTTGGCCCTCCTGTCACGCCCTCTAGAGTCCGAGGCCGACATTGGTGCCCATCTGCCACGTGTATGTACGCCAGCAGTGCAGCCCACGATGGGGTCGGAGCATGCTGGTTTGATGGGGCTGATGGCAGCATTGGCAATGCAATGTTCGTCATAAAAAAATCTGCATTAACAACACAATTGCTAGTACGTAGGTACCCGACCGACCATTCGAGTCCTGCGGTACCGAGAAATCCTGTCCCAACGCCCGAACCCCAAAGTTTCTACCGCCGTGCCGACTCCCGCGGTTGGCAATGTGCGAGTGTGTGTTACATGTGAAAATATGGCCACGATTCTGATGCAGTGAAGCCAAGAATATTACAGATAAGGAAAAAGAAATGGTAACCCAAAAACAAACAAAAACCAGGTTGGCGGCGCTTAGTTGCCCCATCCGTTGGGGTCGCTGACCCACAGCGGCTCCGGCCCGGCGATGGCTACGCTGGCCACCTCCTGCAGCTTGACGCCCGACTTTGTCGTCAGGACACCGTACAGATTACCGTACATGCCGTCGGGTACGGGCGCGAAGCCGTTGCTGCGCAGCACCGTCGTGAACTCGAGCCCGCCCCAGGCCCCGATCCAGGCCATGTACAGCTGCTGGTCCTGCCCGGCCTCGGCGGGGATGCGCACCGTGACGGCGTTGACCTGGTCGCCCGCGCTGCCGCCGAGGCGGTGCTTGTCGGTGAAGACCAGCGGCGGCAGAACTTTACCGTCGCTTCCGAGCACCTTGCCGCCGGCGGGAAGGGCGCCGGCGCAGTCGCCGTCGACGAACCGGTTCTTGACGTAGGCGTAGCCGAGGCGGGCGGGGAGGAGGGCCTCGCGGGGCGAGGCGGCGGCCTTGTGGTTCTGCATCATGTTGACCATGCCGCTCATGCGCGCCTTGGCCCCGACCTGGGACGCCAGCGCCGGCACCAGCCAGGGGTCCGTCGTGGCCACGCTCGTCATGACGTCGGTTATGACCCCGATCTGCACCGTCACGAGCTGCTGCACGTTCTGCAGCCACTGCTCGACGCTGTCGTCGGCGTCGGCGGCGGGCCGGACCTTGCAGGCCTCGGGCACGGCCCGCCTGTAGTTCTGCAGCGAGTCCGTCGCCGTCTGCCGATGCACCAGCGCCTGCGCCGACATGCTGCCGATGGTGCTGACGATGGACTTGGGGTACACGCCGGCCCAGCCGCCCGCCTTGAGCCGGTCGAAGCCGGTCCAGAGCACGGTGAGCACGACGTTGTCGAGGAAGAGCACGAGCTGGAGCAGCTCGACGGCGTCGTCCGAGATCTGCGGCGCGAAGCCGTAGTTGATGGGCTGGCGCCCGCCGGCCATGTCGTAGACGATGCCCGTCATGTTCTCGCCGGGCTTGGGCACCTTGTCGATGATGCCCTTGTCGGCCGGCTGGAAGTTGAGCACGTTACTGCCGCCAAAGCTAGCCACGTTGGTGCCGTTGACCGCCAGGGTGCCGCCCTGAGGGGCTTTGGGCGGGATGCTGCTCGCGCCGGCGCTCTTGGCCTTGTCGGCGAAGGCGGCCAGGGTGTTGCCCTGCGCGGGGGCGTTGACGCTGCCGACCATGCCGGTCTGGCAGTGCCTACCCTGGCCGCAGTAAAACCAGATGGGCTTCTCGTCCGTTACCTTGATGTGGAAGAGAGCGCCTGACGGGCGGGCCTGGGTGGGGATGAAGCCGCTGCTGAAGCCGCCGCCTTCGAGGGGCGAGCATGGCTTTTCGAACGAAGACTGGACGACCGAGTGGTTCTGTGAACAGAAATGGGTCAGTTAAACTGCCTTGCTGTTTCAAGCTGGCTGAGGTATGTAGTGCCTAGACTTACTGCCGGGTTGAAGCTGAACTGCACAACAGTGCCCTTGGGCTCAATGAGGTCGTTGGGAGTGAAGGTGAAGGAACCGTTGGAGCCGCCAACCTGAACCTTTGCGATCCGCTCACCACCAACAGGAAGTCCTCCCGGAGGCCCTCCTGGGGGCGACAGGGTGGCGACAACATCCTTGGCCTTCTTCTTGAACTCGTCGTGGCTGTTGCCAGGGCCAGCTGGAGGACTGTTTCCAAGACGCGTTAGCCACGCGTCACTCGGCGAGGTGATAGATGGAGGCAGTCTTACGCATTAATTGAGTGGACCATGCCCTGCTGGCAGTGGTTGCCCTGGGCGCAGTAGAACCACAGCGGCTTCTTGTCCTTGATGGTGATTGTGAAGCTAGTCGTCGACGGAACATCGGGAGACTCGTTGGGCACAAATGCCGAGAAGATCAGGTCCTTGGCCAGCGGTTTGCAAGGCTCGCCGAACGACGAAGCTACGACGCTGTGGTTCCTCGCGTAGAATTGGTACGTGACCGTGTCTCCCCCCTTCGCATCGGGGATGACCTCGGGGTCAAACTTCAGGCCGCCCCTGCCGACAGCGACGATCCACTCCTTGCCATGGGCGACTGTGGCCAGGAGGGCGACTGGGAGGAGGGTTAACCTCGCGGAGAAGCGCATCTTGGGCGAGCGTGTTCAAGATCTAGGAGGAGGAGACAGGAGAGAAGGAAAGGGGGTTTTGCTCAGGAAGGCGTGACTTCCGATATCTGATGTGCTGGCGTCTCTCTGGATGTCGAGATCAGGAAAAGGATGGAGTCCAGATTAAGTATGAGACGAACACTGGGGCGAGGAACAGGCTGATTATCACAATGGCTGAGATGGAAATGGGATGAATTTATCGAGTCTAAAACCAGCACATCCATCCATCGAGGTCGTCGCATGTGCGGCAGAGCACATGCAGCCAGGGTCCGGCCCCATGGCTCCGGCCAGGGGGGGTGAGGGTGAGATGCAGGCGGCGAAGCTGTTGGTGGTGTGGGTTCCCGCCGCAAGCAGAGGGTGCTACTATTTTCGTCGGCGCCCCAGGAATGGAAAGGTAAGTCAAACAAGATACGAACGGGTCGTTGCGTGGCCGTTACATGGGACAGTTGGTAATTGATGGCGAGGGAATTTGGCGCGGATTCCTCAAGAGTTACAGCACAGAGTCTGGCAATACTGCCAAGCTGCTAGCGCTCAAGCTGTGCCCGGAACGCTGCTCCTCCCGGCGAGCCCAAGCGGCGGCTGGCACGGTGGAGGAAACGGCAGCGGCACGGTGGAGAAGCAAAGAGTACGAGGTTGATGAGCTGGTTCTTAGCTGCGACGGCAACTCTAGCAGCCGCGGCAGCTGGACTCAGCTTCTGGCTGTTTCTGGTCTGGAACCCACGACTCGCTGCCGATCCGGGTTTTGCATCATGACAGACAATAATTGACCGCCCGACTGACCGTCAATGAACTCGAAGCCACCAACGTTCGCTGCCGTCGGCTTCCATTCCACTGCCGGCCACCGGATCCGCCGTTTCCGCGACGGCCAGTGGCTGCCCGAACCTCACAGCCCAGACAGAAGGCGCTTGTCTCTGTTCCTTTCAGGGCTCGTTCCTTCCACCCCACCTGGCCCAGAAGTTTCAACGGCAGCGACCTTGCCGATCGAAACAGAATCGCGGGTTGAGGGAGGGCCCCGCTGTAAAAGCTCACCGACCCATCCACTTCGTAAAATAAAGACGAGCCGGCAAATGAAAGAAAGCACGACAAGACAGAACAGGGATCACGACCCGCATCCCATCTCAGCCCCCCGGCTTGCCATCGGAACAGCAGCCACCCCTACCCTCCCAGATCTCCCTCTGGACCACACTCAACCGGCGACGATGCGCGGCGCAGATTGGATCGGTCGCCTGCCCATCCGAGCCGCCGTGGCTGTGGCTGTGTCAGGGCGGCTCGCGCTTAACCCGACTCCCTGGCAGACTCTACTACAAACGCATGCAGCCAAGTCCGGGCAGAGGGAGCACGAGGGGGCAGCAGCGTGGGGAAGGCGTGCTGCCGTTAGGTTTAGCGCCAGGCACTGGCTGTTGCTATTTCGGCACCGACGTCAGCGACCATTCCGCGTGCCAAATGTGGGCTGGATGCAACCCTCCCGTCGGCAGCCAGAGATCCCAGAATAAATTGCCCATTCCGTGCCGCACCCTCGCAGACGGGTTGGCTGCTGACAATATCTCGCCAAATCACTGCCTCAAGTTTCCGTTTCCGGCATCTCACCCCACCCATTGATGGGCAGCCCTGGTTTCAAGTTGCCCTCCTTTATGTCCACGCCGCAGACTGCGTCCCGTTGGAGCTGGTATAAGCCTTTGGCAGCCGCCGCCCTCCTTCTCCCGAGAAGAGCGTGATATCACTCCAAGTTTCTTTAGAATTTCTGGAAAACAACCACCGCACATCCAGCAACAGCAACACTCGGCAGCCATGGCACCACGAAGCAAGAACATTTTGACTTTCCTTCCAGTCTTTCTCTCAGCAGCCTCCTTTCTGCTAGTACTATTAGTGCTGGTGTCGGGAGTCAACAATGGACTTGCAGATCTCTTCTTCCTCAAGGTACGGCTGTGGCCCAACCAGTCTGTCTTCACTGGAAGACCATCCTACTGACCGCTGTCCGTCCAGACCAACGTCGCCAACTTAAAACTCCCCTCGGCCCTCTCCGGATCGGAAGAGCTGCGAGGCCTGAGCGAGGCCAGCGGCATCGACTGGGTGGGCGAGGACCTCACGGCCTCCTCCCTCGGCCTCGCCGACGAGTACACCATCTCGCTTCTCACATCGTGCGCCCGCACCGCGTCCGGGCCCTCGTGCTCCGCCCCCCGCGTCGGCTTCTGGTTCAACCCGGGCATTCAGCTGCGGCTCGACGCGTCAGGGCTGGGCGCGACCTACCCGCCCGAGTACCGCGACGCCCTGGCCTCGTACAACAAGGCGGCCTACTTCATCGCCTTCTCCTTTGTCTTTTGCACTCTGCTGCTGGGCCTGTCGGCCATCCTGGGCGCCCTGGGCGCCACCATTCTGGCCTCGGCCAGTGCCATCTCGACCGCTGTGACAGGCATGGTCGTGCTCGCCGCCCTGTTCCTGCTGGCCGGCAACGCCGCGGCCGTGCACGTCTTCCGCCGCGTGGCCGACACCTTCAACGCCGCCTTTGCCGATCAGGGCCTGTCGGCCTCGGTCGGCCTCGCCGCCATCCTCCTCGGCTGGCTCGCCTTCGTCCTCACCTTGACCGCCGCCATCGTTCTGGTGCTGCGCCAGCGCGGCGACTCGGTCACGCGCGGCCGCCGCATGTCGGACAAGACCATGTTTGGCGACTTCAACAGCAGCGCCGGCGACCCCATGAACGCCGGGATGCTGGCCAAGGGCGGCGGCGCAACCCGCGAGCCCAAGGGCCTCCTGGGCCGCATCCCGCTGCTCGGCCGCCACAAGTACGCGCAGATCGGCGGCAAGCCCGCCTTGGGGCTCTCGACCATGCCGCCGCCGCAGCAGCAGCAGCGCGGCACCGACGACGACTGGTCCACCGAGTACGAGAATCCGCGCATGGGGTCGCCGGTGCGCGGCGTTGCCGAGTACCAGATCCCGGGAGGAAAGCCTCAGGCGAAGCCCCAGCGGGCGCCCATGGCGTATGAGCCGTACAGCAACGCTTTGCAGTAGATGATTTTTTGTAGTTTGGGAGCGGCCGTTCTGGCACGTTCCGTTGTGGGTACACTTCCGGAATTGCCTGCATGGCGTCTGTACTTTTCTTTCTCCATGTATCACATATGTTCGTTACCATTCTGTCTATCATTTACAAAGGAGTTTCTGGAGTTTGCGGGCAAGAGATGGCTAAAGTCGAGAACTATGGAAATAAGACGCATCTAACGGGGTTACCTGCATGGATATAGCACGGCATTACCTGCATTTAATGGAACTTTCTCCAGAGACCCCGATTTCGTCCTTTTCGTCCATGTTGGGCTTTCCCAGAAGTTGTCTTTAACTCGCCGAATTCTGAATGACGCACGTTTAGGGGCCGCACCAATATTCCAAACACACGTGTTTCGGCATGACAACGAGCCAATCAACCTGCGAGCTACCTCTGCAAAGTTCTTGGCGTTGCACAGGCAATTCTGTGTTATGAGTAGCGGACTTGATCACCGTCAATGTCCACAAGCTGTAACAGGAAACTGGGGTGGTGGTTCTTGGCCCCTCTTGGCCACCAACCATGCTTCCTCGCTCGCCTCACTTCCAGAAATGCCAGAAAAATACAAGACCACACCCGCCTACCCCCCTCCTCACAGCGTGTACCTGAACAGCGGGCTCTTGTCGCCCAACTTGATCAGCTCGTCCTCCGAGTAGCGCGCGTGCGCGTCCGCCTCGGTCCAGGCCTCCTTCCTCTTGTTCCCCCACTTGTAGCTCAGCTCGAGCAGGAGCGCGACGAGCAGGCCGCTGCAGCCAAAGGCCAGGCTGAGCCCGAAGCCGGTCGGGTAGCGGGGCGCCTCGGTGTCGAGGTAGATGTAGCTGCCGACGATGCCGCCGAGGTTGCCGACGCCGATGTTGAAGGCGACGCCGATGGCGCGGCGCGACGCCGGCGCCAGGTTGTTGGCCGCCCACGACGAGCCCGCGGGCGCGATGGGGTAGATGCCGATGGTGGTCAGGATTATCCCCATGAAGGCCGCGCCGACGTTGGGCCCGCCCAGGTCGCCGTCGAGCGACAGCACGATGGCGTAGCCCGCCGTGATGAGCAACATGGGGATGGCGACGAAGGGCATGCGCCAGTAGAAGCGGTCCGAGAGGTGCGAGAAGAACAGGGCCGACAGCGCGCCCGCGACGTAGGGTGGGACCGTCATGAGCTGGGCGTTTGTGGTGCTGAAGCCCATGGACTTTGTGATTGTCGGGAGGGTGAACTTTGTGCCTGTGTTGGGGTGTGGTGTGAGGTTCGTTAGCTTTATCCAGACCTAGGACCCCAATGCCTGGAACAACGGCAGCTCACCGTAGCTAGTGGCCGACTGGCACATCAGAATGTACGCCTGCATGTACAGGCGCCAGTTGGTCAGCACGGCCTTGAGGTCGTGCCAGACGAGCCGCGACTCGCCGCCCTCGTCCTGGAAGCGCCCGCCCTGCTTGATGAAGCGCTGCAGCTCCAGGAACCGGATCTCGTCGGGCTCGAGCCACTTGCCGCCGAGGGCGGGGCTGTCGATCAGCAGGAAGAAGGTCGCTACCCCCAGCAGCACGGTGGCGAGCCCCTCCAGGATGAAGATCCAGCGCCAGCCCTCGAGCCCGCCGACGCCGTGCATGCGCGCGATGGCGGCGGCCAGCAGGCCCGAGAAGGCGCCCGACAGCGACGAGGTGCAGTAGAACCAGGCGATGCGCTGGGCCAGGTCGCGCGGCATGTACCAAAAGGTGCACAGGTACACGGCGCCCGGGTAGAAGCCCGACTCGAAGGCGCCCAGGAGGAGGCGCGCGGCGAGGAGGCCGCCAAAGTTGCGCACCACGCCGTGCAGCGTCATGATGACGCCCCAGGCCGTGACCAGGGTGCCGAGGTAGACGGACGGGCGGGTGAACTTTTTGAGGAGGATGTTGGACGGGACCTCTGTGGTGGGGGCGTAGGTGAGCTGGTTAGCCATGATGTCGGCAAGGGAAATGGGTTGTTGAGAGGGCCAGGGGTGGACTTGCCCAACAAGACGTAGGGCACAAAAAAGAGCGACAGGACAATGTTCCACTGGATGCCCGAGAGTTTCAGGTCCTTGGCAAGGCCCTCGATCTTTGCGTTGCCAATGTTTGCGCGGTCGAGGTGCGAGATGAGGTAGAGGATTGCCAGCATGGGCACTAGCCGCTTGTCCACCTTCCGGATCACCCTCTTGCGCTGCTCGGGCGTGTAGGACGCATAGAACTCGGCGTCCTCGTCCGTCAGCCCCAGCACGCGCATGTTGTCGATGGTGCGCGCGACCGGGGCCTTGTCCGGGCTGTTGTCCTGCGAGGCATTGTCGATCTGCCCGACCGTGTCCTGGTCCGACTTCTTATCGCGTATCGACACCATCTTTGCGGGAGGGGGGCAGAAGGAATCCCTGCCGCCTGCCAGCCAGGCCCGAAGCACAGGGGGGCGTCAACGATGGGCCATGGACCTTCCTCCTATATAGCCACGCGCGCGGTGGGCCCCCCGGAGCGAAATCCGAGCAGCCATTGTCCGCTCTCCCCAACAAGTTCGCGGCCGATGGACCGGTAACATGGCACGGTTGGTGGTGATGAGGACCCCGACTGCTCGCTCGCGTCAAGGAAGAGGAGCGAGTGCCGGTGGGGGTGGGGATATGGAGCCTACCCGAGCTCCTCCCCACAGATACGCGCAGGGTTCTCCGCGCGGCTATGCGGGCCAAGCAGTCTTGGGAGAGTCGGTGGCGGCCGTGGTTGGGTCCCGGGAGCACTCGGAGAAGGACGCTGACCTGTGTCTATTGGTCGCATTATTCCCGACCAGTCTGATAAACTACTCGGAACGTGGGGGAAGATGCTGGCGACAGGGCCCGGACGGTTGCAGTTGGGTGGAGCCGCCGGACGACCTCCCTCTCCTGTCTGGGGGGTTTTCCGATCTACACTGCCCCGACTCGTACCTTGGGTGCTGGGGTTTTCCGTCAAGGTTGTTTTTCCGTTCTTGCTGTCGCCTTCAGGCCGCGAATGCCAGCGGCAAGCCGACGGGCATTTGACGCCAGGCGAGAACATGTATACAACTGGTTGGGGTATCGTGCGGCCAGAACATCAAAAAAGGACATGCTGTGGTGCTGCAGATGGAATTCATTCAATCAAATGACGGCCCCTATCAGCCACAAAACGCCTCCCACACCGCACCAAACCTTGTTAATTAGTTTCGGGCTTGTCCTCTGGCTATAATGAGCATAACGACAATAACCTTGATCACCATGGCGCTCCCTGGAGCGGCGGCTTGACGCGCTTGGGGGTTCAAGCTTGCGGCACAGTCAAGCCACCAAAGGGAATGCAGATGAATCACGACGGCGGCAAGGTCTATTGGACCTATAACAGTCCAGAGTGGAAGAAACAGTCCCGTCCTAGACGTCGAGTCGAGCGTGACGCCATCCCCTCCTGCGCAAAGTAACCACCATGCGCTTCATGGCTGGATATCGCGCCCTTGCCACGGGCCTCGTGCTGGCCGGCGGCATTTCGGCAACGACCGTCGATGTCCTGTCGGACCGCCCGCAGGTCTTGGGACACGCCGTCGGCAGCTCGTTCCAGCCCGAGTTTTCTGGTGCTCCTGTCGGCCGCTTCGAAAGCCTCGACAGCTCAAACCTGGACCACGGCCTCGTTGCCAGGCAAGATGAATTCCCGGCCAAAATCGCAGGAAGTCTGTCAGCAGCTATACTCGTCCCTTCCGCCACGTCTTTCCTTTCTTCCGGTTGCTTGACCTCGGCTGACCTGTGAACCACGGCACCGCTCTAGACACTTACTGCGGGCAGTTCCACGTGGGCGACCGCAGGAACGCCCACAAGCTGATCGAGAAGATCCCCCAGGAGATGCCGTACAAGGAATGGTCCGACAACTTCACCATGCCGGCCAAGACGTGCACGCGTGTCAAGTGCTGGAACACATCGGGGCTGTACATGTGCAACGTAAGCCGACTTTTTCACCTTGAACGCAATTTGTAAAGAAGCAGAGGACGCTGACGTATTGCTGCCACGCACTGCCGCCCACAAAAACCAAAACCTACAGCCCACCAGGAGAAACATAACCGTCGAGACGGTCTCGCAGATGCGGAGGGCCCTCCGTATGGCCAACAAGTGCTGCACCGCCGCCAGGTATATTAACCGGGGACACTTTGGCTCAAGCGGCGAGTTCCGCGACGATGCGGGCTGGAGCGCCATCTCGGCCTACGCCAACTGCAGGTCGCCGCCAGTCACTTACTGGCCCAGCAAGGCGGTCCCTTCTAGATCCGATCCGAAAACCGAGAGGTGCTATTGGAAGCCGGACACGACGACGTACGGCGACCTGCCAGTCATCCCGGAAATCGAGGATGAGTGAGCGGCTGGCCTGGCGTCTGCCCGGAAAGGTGCACGGGCACGTGGAGCAGGGCGGAAAGCAGGGTAGGGTGGCGCAACAGGGTTTGTTCGTTTGGGTTTGACGTCCCCCCGGGCTTTCCGTTCGAGGGAAGCACATATGAGGGGCGGTTAGAGCTATCTCATTGCACAGACAGACCGGAATCCCCCAATCCATTCATGCCTTCTCACGACCCTCAACCTCGGGCTTCTCCCCTGCCGCCGACCCCAACTGCGCGCGGGCCACGGCGTCCTTCGCGACGGTGAGGCGCTCGTCGTCCTTGCGGAACACGTCGATGCCGACCGACTGGAACTTGCGGGCGGGTACGCCAAGTTCGAAGAGCTGCAGGGTAGGATAGATGGCCCATTAGCTTCATAGTCCAAACACGTGAAGGAAAGAAAAACACTCACCCTGTCCAGCTCGGCATACGTAAAGCCCGTCGGCTCGGGCAGGCGAAAGTAGACCCACACAATGACCAGAAGGTCCAGCCCAGCCCAGAAGAAGGCGGTGCGCGACTTCCAGTTCCAGGCGGTCGGGTTGAGCATGTAGGGCATGAAGGAGTTCTTGACGATGTTGAGGACGCAGTAGGTGGCGCGGCCGAGGTTGAGCGTCTTGATGAGCAGCTGGCGCGACGGGTACTCGGTCACGAGCGAGTAGCAGATGGTGCCGACGGTGAACTGGTAGCTGACGGACCACACGAGCAGCAGCGACCCGGCCGCCCACGACGCGGGCGTGGTGCCGAGCTCGCCCACGCCGCCGACGAGCATGAGCACAACGAACATCCAGACGGCACCCCAGAGGTAGAGGGTTCTGCGCGGTGGGTGGCGTGTTAGCAAACCTTGTGCGTGTGTTTGCAAAAGGTAAAACGGAAGGAAAAGCAAGAGAGGGAGAAGAAAAAAAGAACTTACCGCCTCCCAACTCCAAGCGAGCCCATGAGCAGCCACGCAATCACCACGCCGCCCGTATTAATAGCGTACTGCCCCATGGTCAGGCTGAAGCTCGCCGAGACGGGGATGCCGGCCTGCTGGAAGAAGTAGGTCGAGTAGCTCATGAAGGCGCTCCCGCACAGCTGCTGGCACGCCCACGCGCCGACGGTGCACTCGGTCCTGCGCAGGTCGGCGCCGCGGAAGCAGTCGATATAACTCGCGCCCTGCTGCACCTCCTTCTCCAGCCGGATCGTGTGCTGCATCATGTCGACCGTCTGGTCCAGGCTCTCGGCGCTGGCCGACGCGGCGGCCAGGCGGCGCAGGCTCGCGCGCGCGTCGTCTATGCGGCCGCGGCGCACCAGCCACCACGGCGACTCGGGCGCCAGGGCCGCGACCACGATCAGCATGGGCGGCCACACCCACTGCAGCGCGTAGGGGATGCGCCACCCCCACTCGTCGGTGCGCGACAGCAGCCCGCGCAGCATGCCGACCGACACGAGCTGCCCGATGCCCCAGCAGGCGTTGACCCAGGTCGTGAGGTAGGCGCGCAGCGCCACGGGCGCCACCTCGGCCGCGTACGAGGTCGTGAGGGTCTGGAAGATGCCCCAGGGGATGCCGCAGAGGACCTCGGCGGCGAGGAGCATGGGCAGGCTGTTGGCGAAGAAGAAGAGGAAGATGAAGCCCGTCAGGCACACCATGGAGCCGATGTAGACCTTGCGGTAGCCCCAGCGCTCGGCGATGATCTAGTTGCGGGTGAGATGACGTTAGGGGACGTGGAAACCTGGGAGGGGTTGGTGATGTGGCTACCTACACCGTTGATCAGCAGGCCGAAGATCTGCCCGCACGCGACGCCGTTGCTCAGCCCGGCCTGCCACTGTGCGGGGAGCTGGTAGTCGCCGTTGCCGGTCGGGTTGCCGAAGCTCTTTTTGAACTCTGGGTAGGCGTCTGTACGACAGCACATGTCAGCAAAACCTCTCTACCTCTCCACCTCTCTCCCACAACAAGTCCAAAGTGAACCGAACGCACAAAAGTTGCTGAGAAGCACCACGTCAAACCCCTCCATGATGACGGCGACCGAGATCAGGATGCTCCACGCCGACGCCTTGGGGTACATGCGCAGCGCCTCAAACAGCCCCATCTTGTGCTCGTTCTCGGTCGCCCGCTTGGCGCCCTCGATCATGGCCTCGAGGTTGTGGATACGCTCCTTCTCGACCGCCACGTCGTCCGCGGGGCCGCCGTCGTCCTCGGCCGCCACGATGGGCGCCTGCTTGCCCTTTTCCTTGTCCATGGCGTTCCGCTGCTTTTGATTTTTTTTTCGGTCGTGTAGACGGTCGCTCGACGACGATTGTTTCTGGACAGGAGTGCGTCTCTGCCGCTGAGGTGTGTTCACCGTGGGCTGTTTCCAGTGCCCCGACAGATACAGTGGATGACGGACAAGTCAGAAAGGCCAAAGACGCCAGGTCGCAGCGATAGCGCCGTATTATTTATACATGCCCGAAAATCCCATCGCCTCGCCTTCATCTCCGCCTTCTCCAGTCCAAGACTCTACTCTGGGGAAGGCCTGCGGGGGAGACAAGTTGGGGAACCGGGGAGGGCTGGGGAATCTGGGGAAGGACCACCGATTTTTTGTCGTTTTGACAGCCCCCCATTCGACAAGCGCCCGTCATATGCTCCAGAGAGGCGGGCCCGATTCACATCGCTGACCATTCTTCGACGTGTCTGCTCGGGCTCAGCTTCCTAATGTTCCCAAGCTCGTCTCCATCGTCTCCTCTTTCCCCTCAGGCCAAGACCGTGTCGGGTGGGGCCGTTTGTTGTCGTTGGTGGCTGGCAGTTCGCATCCACGGCACCTCGGTCGGTAAGCAATTCGGCGGCTGCCCACGACATTGTTCGCTTCTGTGCGAGCGACTGGTACATGTTCCTTTTGTTTCGCGTTGCTGGCCTTTTGGGGGAGCTTCTCAGTGTCACAAGAGGCCTAGGTAGCTGAGTAGAGGCACTGTCGTGGACGTGCGCGAGACCGCTGTCGACCCGGTTGGGGCAGGCGGGCTGCAACCACGTGTAATGTCAGAATTTCAGACCCGAGAACCCTCCGATGCAACGTCGCACCGTCCACATGGGCGCCGTCTTGGCAAGAAGTCGGTCGGGATGGATAAAGGGGGGGTGGAATCGAATTGAAGAAATTTCCGGGGCTGCTTTTCCCAGTATGCTGTCTATTCCTTGACCCAGTAAACTGATTGCCATGCCTATTTGTTTCTTTAAATAACTCCCGCTGTTTCCAACCATAGTCAAAGAAAGATAGCATTCACCTAGCAAGAGCAGAAAGGCCGAGCCCACACCTAGAAGCCACCCGAGAGCCGCCTCGGGTCGGCATTCCAGTCAGAGTAGAGAAGATGGTTCATGGGGTCATCGATACCCACCATGGACCCGCCTTGCGAGCCAATGTCGACGCCGACGTACCCCTGGCCGTAGGATCCGAAAGACGTCCCCGACACTTCCCCGCCCATGTCCGGGGGCAGAAGCTGCATGTCGCCAAACAAGCGGGCGGTGGATGACGCGGCTGCCGTCACGGCCGGCGACCGAGTTCCGCCGGCAGAGGCCACGCGCGGCGCCGGGGACAACGAACCGCCCCTGCTGACACCTTCGCGGGCGGGCGCTCCCGAACACTTTGACGACATGGCAGGCGAGGCTCGGGCGGCGGGGGCGGCGCGGGTGGCGTAAGTGTAGCCTGCATGCATGCGGTGTGGGTGGTAGTACATGGCTTGGTCGCAGAGCTGCTCGATGGCGCGCCATGCGGCCACGTCGGGGTTGTCGTGGCGTCGGAACGCCAGCTCGACCTGCTCCCACGCGCGGTCCGCGTTGGGATGGGACTGCGGTATCCGGGCTAGGCCTGTAAGCACGAATGCCAGTGCGTTCCATGGGACAGGCCACTTGTACAGCCATCCAAGGCCGTGGGCCACCGCTACGGCCTCGCCACGCGACGTCTCCTCCAGCACGTCAATTGCTTGCAAGAACAGACTGTTGGCTATCGCATTAGCTTCGGATGGCTGCAAAGAAAGCTCGCGCTCTTCATAAGCGAGAGCCCTCGTGCACCCTTATGCAGACATTGGAACAAACCTACGGTCCTTGGTCTGCCGTACTTGGCGTCCTCGACAACTGCAGGCTGTTAAGCCCTATAGATAACCTTTGGTGTGCTATCTCGGCCCGGAATCGAGACAGAGTGATGACCTGCATGTGGTTCGACTCGTCGACGCACCCAACGAACCTGCCAGTGAGGTACGTTGCCGTCTCGTCGATGAGACGGTACATCTCTTCTGGTGGTACCATTGCCAGTGACATTCTTCCAAGCCTCCGTGTCAGCCTCACCATCTCGCTCCAGAGGATGGAATGCGACTGCTCCGTCCAACCTTCGCGGTCAACGGGTGTGCTGTGAGGCTTGGCAAAGCGTGACACGATCCACTCGCAGTCTTCGGCGTTCATGGACCGCTGGACGTTGGAGAGCGGCTCCAGCGCTGACTCGGCGCCCTCTCCGTTGAACATCTGGCTGTCGAGGATGAGGAGTGTGTTCCATAACCGCCTTCGCATCTCAGCCACCCAGGGCGCAATGTTGTAGTTCCCGGGGTCTCGGTGTAAGCCGAGTCGCATGCCGACGCGCCCTGCCAAGCCTGTCAGAGCTATTGCTTGTTCAGCCTGGCCTTCGCCAAACAAGTAACACTACGTGAGGTTAGCAAACACCTTAAAATGACAGCATGACCCCCAACCAGGATTGTTGGATGGCCAACCTCCAGCCGCACAATAGTCACACGTACTATGTAGTAGACCAAAGCCTGGAAGCCAATAAACTTCCGCGTGCGTAGTATATCGGCCCTACTAAGTGCCGTCTCGGCCGCCAGGCGGAGCTGCGACACCAGCTCTCCCTTGCTTTGCGCCAGTGTCTGTTGCGCCTGATCCTCGCTCATGGCAGCAGCGCCGAGCAGTTGCTGGCAGAGCATGGTTGCCTCGAACTCCTTGCGTATGGGAGACGCACCCCTGCGGAAGTCTTGAAGCTGGTCCCGGAACGCTTGTCTGTGGTTGATGTTGACGAACGGATGGACATTCTTCCAAAAGTAGTCGAGCAGAAAATTCTCCTTGTCAAGGGGGAGGTGCATGCGTGACATGCCCTCTGACGCCAAGCCACCAGCCACAACGCTGGACGCTGCCGCGAACGGCCAGACTGCGGGCTGGATTTTGGGTTCCGACGGCACGTCCAGCAGGCAGCGCGGTTCGCTGGTAAACTCATGCAAGTTCATCCAGAATGTCGAGCTCATATAGTAGCCGACGTGTGGCTCGAATACTTGAGTGCCGTGGTCCTCGCGCTCCGATCGAAGAATATTCTGGTCCTCAGTAGCGTAGCTATCGATACTCCAGTCGGGGGACGACCTGTCTGGTGTTCTTCTTTGAGATGGCGACGAGGCGTGTCTCTCGCGGATGTGGGCGTAGGGGTACAGGTGTGGTTGCATCGGAAAGTTGCTTTGCATGGCAAGGTACGAAGTGGACATTTCCTCGATCAGGCGCTCCAGGCGGTCTATACGGTCGTAGAGGGCGGCCTGATCGGCGCCATAAGCGATAACAGACGCCGAGGCGCCGTCGCCAGAGTCATAGATGCAGACCAGCCCGTGCCTGGAGCAGTTGGCGCAACCGGGCTGGGTCTTGCAGCATCTGACCTTTCTCCGACGGCAGGCGGCTGGGACGGACAGTCAACGGAAAGCTCGCTTGCAGTCTGGGTGGGGATGGGTAAAATGTGCGTTTACTTACTGCAAGGCTTGCTATGTCCCGTTACCCCTGCTCCCAGCTGCGAGGCCTTGGACTGCTTGATGCTGTCGGTGCCCGCGGCGGCGAGTGAGGATGGTGGCGTTCTGGGCGACATCCTGGCGCGCTGCTCTTTGGGTGCTCTATCACCAAGCTACTTAGCCGAACAGAGTACCCGTGCAGGCAATGAGGATGAGTTTCACGGCCGGCGGTGGTCGCCGAGCCGGTAAAGCTGCCTACTTCCGCGCTGCCGGATACAGCTGAGAAGCGGGCCTCCGATAGCACGATTGCTTCGTGCAATCTGGGAAAGGGGGTTGGCGGCTGGGGCTGAGGCTCGGCAGGGATGCGGGCAAGAGACTGGCCCTGGGCAGCTCGTCACTCAATCTTGTGCAAGACCGTCACTATGCACCCAGCGAAAACGGATGGGATGACTGGACATCCAGGACAGATCGCGATGAACGTTGGTGGCTGCTTCTGATTACTTATCCTCCCGTAGCACCAGCGCTGGTGGCGGCTGGACAGGTGGATTGTCTTGGTCGGACGGAAGATGTAGATAGATGCGCAGTGAGATGACCAGTGCCTGGGAACGGACGGGAAGCCGCCAGGGGAGGAGCCCCCTGGCAATGTGGGGGAAAACGAGAACGACTATCATGCATCAAGAACAAGCCCCGGGCAAATCAAGCTAGCGTGCTGGTATGAGTGAGTGGGCTCCATCCGGAGAAGGCGATGGGCATAAGGAATGAAGGCCGGATGCAAGAGAGGAGAGTCTTGGCAAGAAGGGTCGTGGGCCAAGGTGGTGCACTATCCATGGTGGCGGGATGTGCTGGCGCGGCAGCAGAGATGCGGTGCAGCGTTACTGCGACGTCAGCCCCGATAGCGCAGCTGCCATCCATGTCGGAATGTAACGGCTCTAAAGACGGAAAGAAAAGGTGCTGCCTAGAGGGAGTGGCGTCTGGCGTCCGCGGCCCGCATCCACTGTGCGCTGGTTCGTAATGGCCCAGTGGCATGTCGCTCCCCCCAGGGTCTGATAAACCGGGGCGAAACGGATGGCCTGCCAGCCGGCGCTTAGCCGCTTTCGGCAACCGCCCATCGACGACGGGCCTTTTCGCTCGGGGCGGTGGTGGGATGGCAGAAGGAATGGGTTCCTAGCTCCCTGGATCTTCGGGTTCGGTAGACCGGCAGACGGCGGAAAGGGCCAGGATGTGCGGGCCAATCTCACTCCTCTGCTGCCGCCACATGGCAGGTGCAGGCGATGGCGTGCGGGCACCGTTGCCCGCCGCAGAGGCGTCTGTCTACGGTCAGACGGAGGATGCCGGGCTTAGTCACAGGCCCATGGTTGGGCCACAGCTGTGCAGCAGACAAACGAGGTCCTGACAAAGTGCTGACCGCCGCCACGATAGGGGCCGGACGCTTGACAAAACGGCGCAGGCTTGGTTCCTGGGTCGGTTCCACAGCACTCGATCTGATGGCCAGGATGTGTTTGTGTCCATTGGCGGGGCTCGATGGAGGTTCGTCAACGCTTGACAGAAAGTACCAAAATTGCCGCTGAAACGCAAATTAAATCGGGCATAAGTCCCACCGGATAGACTCTGGCGTGATTGGCGAAAGATAAAATAGGTGGATCTCTGGGAACAGATCAAAGCCGCATAATAACGAAGAGAAAGAAATGGAAGGGGAAGGTCAGTGAGGATTTCGCGGTTAAACTACCCTGTCTCAATCACGATCAACGATCCCAATTTGATGGAGGCGGAAGGGAAAAAAAATGCAGCGTCGGATTCCAGTAGCGATGACGGGGCTCGCTATCCTCAAGCCCACCGTTCAGGGGCAAGGGCCTCGGGGAATATTTTAGGCAGCCAAATTTCTGTTCCCATTCCGGACAGCTGAATCTCAAATCACTGACCCCTCCAGGATGCAGGGCTGAACACGAGCCGCCTCTTTCTGCGCTAGCCCCCAAGCGCCTTTGGCCTTCCAGTGACAGGCAGCCACGGACGGCGGCCCAGGGGAGGGAATGGCAACCCGCGAGTTTCCCCGTCACCCGTTATAGTTGCTCCGTCCAGGCGTGTCTCAAAGCTCCAGCGCCCCGCCCGCGACGGAGCCCACCCCATCCTGCGCCTTGCCATTCTCGGGGTCTAAACAGCACGTGTCTTGCGGGTTGCGGCACGAGGCCAGCACGGCTTCGACCTCCATCCACGTCCAGGATCGCCCCTGGGGCGTGCGCGGGCTGTCGGGCCGCAGTCCCACGAGAACGGCGGCGCTGGCGCTGCTGCCCCCGCTGAATCATCAGTGCACTAAGCATTTCAAATTCTGACCCGTTCTCCCGAGTTAGGCTGCCCCAACATAAGCACGTCACATCAAAGTACCGTGGGCTTTTTTAAATCTTGACCGCGCCTGGTAATCGGCATCCTAATCATGACAAGCTGGATACTAATGCCAGATGCCCGGAATGTGCCGAACAGATTGTTTACCTAGGAAGGCAGGATGACAAGATAAAAATAATCAAGCCCCCGTTGTCGCGATGGTGGGTCCAGCACTGGGCATTGGCCAAGCCACACCATAGGCACATGGCTTTCCGCGTTTCCAAGGCGAGCTAGCAGCCACGAGCCCGTGCTTCCGTGCTTCTGCTTGGATTATGCCCTCCTTACGAATTCCACTCCGTCTTACTGCATCAACTTAAACCAATAGTTGAATCGTATGACGAGAAACCTCATGGTGGTGTTCTTTCCAAGGCGGCCAATACACAAGCGAGCCCCCTTGCTTCGAATCCTGCAGTATTTAATACGAGCCTAGCTGCGCCATGTTTACCGATATAGTGACAGTGACACAACAGCATGGATCTACATGGTTCCCGGCCCTTCATCGCCACACTATCACGTTGCCTGGAACAACCGCAGCAGGCAAAAGGTTGGTTGTGGATTGTTACCATGCACGCGGTGGATTCACACTCAGGACTAGGCCGTGTCTTGGGCCTTCTCGCCCGACCCAACCTTGAAAGGGCCCCAGTTCCGGGGGTCACTGTGGGCCGGGGTCTAGATACCTTTTTTCACAACAACCCATTTCGACGTCGCGCAGGCACATGGCTACCTTCGCCTGCAAGAACCTGACGGAGCTCATCGATACTACACCATTCTGTGGTGTGCATCGGAGTTTTCCAACGTTGCGTCCCGTTTATGGAACGTCTCCACTACTCCGGTTTGCCTCCCAGGTTACTCAGCGAAAGAGTTCCCATCTGGACTCCGAAATCTCGGACATCTGAGTATTCCCAAGGCGCCTGGCCTTGCGAGGTGAGTTAGAATCACATAAAAATCCACGAAGCCCAGAACGCGTATAGTATCTTTTCTATTTTTGTTACGCAAGTCTATGTTCGCGTGTCCACGCTAGGAAGACCGCTTGACCTCACTACTGATTATGAAACTCCCCGGAGGTTTGTGGACGCGCAAACCAACGCCACATGTTTTTGCAGCCCAAAGAAATGATTACCCCTGAATACCTGCTCCTCGTGTTAGTCTCTCCCGTCACTATCAGCCACCCGGGTGGGTGTCCAACCTGCCGACATACCCGGCGCAGTAACCAGTCATATCACAGGGATAGGGACGGCCAAGTCTGACGGCCAATATGACGAACACCGAAATCTTCCTACTAGCCAGGCTCATCTCTACTCCTTCCCGTTGAGCCTCAAACAGCTCCCCCTACGGGACCTTGGTCTTGAATGGCGAATTTGCTAGGCTAGTCAATACCTGCTCTTCGCCACCTACACAAATGTCCGTTCTCGCACCAACTCTCACCCTAGCTCATCTCCAATTTTCGGCCTTTCCCCATACCAGATAGCCAAGCTACGGCATCGAACGTTCGTGGTTCCGAGGACCCCGTCCGTTAGAAAAATACGGTGATAGGAAATTGTTCGCCCCACCACGGAAACGGTTGGGCACTTGGGCAAAGGAGGCGCCGAGAAGGTGCTAATGCACGCAGGCCGGCCCTGTGTCACGCACAAGTTGCAAGGTTAGTTGGTTTCAAGGATGAGCTGGCACGCCCTGCCATGCCTTCGTCCTGCCCGTGCTCATCATATCACAGGTTGGTGGATGGTGGCAGAAAGAGGAGGCCTACTGCAGTCTCCCGACGGCGTCTCTTCACTGTGTTGTCTTGACTCCTCAGATTTGCCCCAGCACTGTAGGGTTTGCTCCACTCTACCATGGGCTCGTAGCCTGTGACAAAAGGGGGGAAGAGTACCGCTGCTAGTCCCAGTGGCAGGACACTCCGCCACTTTCCAATCCCCTCACTTTTTCAAATTCCTGACCAAAACCATTTCATTTGTGTCTCAACATAATTGGCGACTGAGTTCTTGTTTTGCTATCAAGTCCAACTGGACCTCATAATGTGGCGCATATTTGGAGGGGCGCTTTCTCCGTGAAGGCTGGTACTCTCTGAAAACCCCCAAAGGTACTTCAGGAGACGTCAAGTTCCACATCACCGGAATTTACGTTTGACGATTTATTTTTCGAGATTAGAGCCCTCACCGTTCATCAACCCGGCCAATTCTGAGCTAGCTTTCCGCCTTCAGGGGTTAGGACTGATCCTCCCACGTCAGTTCTTTCTCAATCACATCAGGCACTCGTTATTATTTGGTTGGCAGCGAACAAAAAAAGGGGGTGTTGCTATGGGATCCCGTGCCCATCAATCCATCCCCACTATCAGTCTTCGGACTGGACCTCATCTTCGTTACCATCCTCCTCCTCGTCCGAGCTCATCCGTTTTTTGGCCTTGGTTTTTTTCACCTGCTTTTTGGTGCCCCTTTTCTTTTTGCTCGCCCTTTCCTCCTCGCTCTCTTCTTCCTCTTCCGTCTCCTCATCCGAGCTTTGGTCCTTCTTCGTCCTCTTTTTTCTCCTCGACCCTTTCTCGGCTGCCTTGACCTTGTCCTTCTCGCCTATCTCGACCTCTACCTTGACCTTGGCGCTATCTGTTGTCTTCTTTTTCGTTGTCTTCTTGCTCTTCTTCCTGGACTTCACGTCGGACTCACTGTCAGATTCTTGAGAGCTGTGCTCCTCCTCCTCTTCCGAGTCGGTCTCGTTCTGAGAGGACTCGGTGTCGTCACTGCATGCCCCCCTCGCCCTCGGCGCCCTCCGTTTGGGCTTGGGCTTGTGCGAGATGGGCATCTGGATCTCGCGGTCCTTGGCTGGCTTCCCATCGGCCCCGAACTGGTCAGACCGGATCTGCTTTTGCTTGGCCGCTTTGGACTGGTCCGCGCCCATGTGGGTTTCGATCAGGTAGTTGTCGAACTGAATGGTGGCATCGCCGATGGTGCGGAAGTGCTCCACGGTGATCTTGGGCTGCCGCTTTTTGAGCGGCCGCCGGCGGACCTCGAACTCGGCCAACGCCAGCGCCGTTTGGAAGGCGTTTTGGATCTGACGCCCGTTCCACCGGAGTGCCTTGTAGTTGAGCTGCGCCCATTCGTGGATTCGCTTGCGGCTGTACGCCACTGGCTGCAGCCCGTCCGCCTCGCGCTGCCTGTTGAGCTTTTCGATGCGCCGGATGTTCATGTCCCACACCTCGTAGGTTTGCCTTTCGTCCAGCCGCGGGTAGTACAGCGACAGGTGAATCCGCGATCGGAACGCTTCGTCGAAAGCGCCTACACGGTTGGTGGTAAGGAACAAAATCCCGGAATAGTACTCGAGCACGCGCAAGAATACCGACACCAGCCCGTTGCGCTTGACGTCGGCCTTGTCACGCTCGGCCAGGAACACGTCGGCCTCGTCAATAAGCATAACGCACCCCCACTTGTGCGCTAGCCGGAAGAGCTTCTCCAGGTTCGCCTCGACTTTTTCCGGCTCGTACCCGATATCGCCACAAGTGATTGGGAACAAGGGCCGGCGCGTGTAGGCGGCCACGCACTCGGCCGTTGATGTTTTGCCCACGCCCGGGACGCCATGCAGCAGGATAATGCAGCCTTTGCCCTTGCCCTGGATCAATCCGATGTCGTACTTGCCCTCGCTGCCAGACCCGGAGGCGCCGGGGCCCGACGAGCCCTGACGCGACCCGGCCGTGTGCGTCTCGACCATGGACTGCACCATGCTGCGGTGCGTCGCCGGGAGCACGAGATCGTCCCAGCCGCTCTCGCCCTCAGCAACCTCGACCTCCTTGAGGCGTCCAATGTCGAACTGCACTGTTCCCCGTGTGGCGGGTCTGGTTAGCAATCGTCCGCAGAGAAAGGGGAAAGGGAGGAAAGTGGCTGCAACATACACCACTTGCGACTGTGGAGAGCAAAGCCGTGCACCACGCCAGGCAACAGCACGTGAAGATCTTTATCCCTGAGCTGGTCCTTGAGCCGCTTGGTCTGGCATTTGTCACCGCCAACTTCGAGTTCCCCCAGCCAGGTCTTGAGGGTGGGTAGGATTTTCCCAGACCGAGCCTTTTCCAACTCCATGTACTGGTCCTTGAGGCAGCACGTTGTCGTGGGGTTCTCGCACGTCGACATGGGCAGCTCCATCAGCCCTCCGGGGTTCGTCCAGTCCCAGATGCGCTCGGATCGGCCAAAGCTGGGCACCAGGTCTGGCAACTCCTGGAATGCGAGCTTAAAGTCGATTATGACGGGGCTGGTGATCTCCTCCTGCGTCTCGCCGACCGTTTGGCCGTCGTAGCTGAGGTGCGTAACGCGAGTCCATTCGAGGAACTTTAGTCCACGCGCGTGTAGGTCTATCGCCTTGTCCTGAGTGCCCAGGTGCCGTTGGTACGCCATTGGAAAAACGTTGAGCGACGTGACCTCCATCTCGCCGTCGAACGGCCTAATTTTGAAGATGTCGGGCACGGCGCTTAGCCGGGCCCCGTTAAAGTCGATGTAGTAGCACGACACCAGTAGTGACGTGAACCGGTCACTGGCCTTCTCGCCTGATTGCTGCTCATCGATGAGTTCTAGCAGCTGCTTGATATAGAACTGCTGCGACTGTGGCTCCGAAGGGTCCGTAGCTACCGCCTTGGTCGACTTCAAGGCCTCCCTGCCCGCCCGGTCACCGCTTTCGGCTGCGCGCGGCACGAAGCGCCGGCCCCGCAGGACACCCCCGGCGCTGGCGATAACGCGGTAGGCCTGCGGCACATGGCGCTGAATCGAGGCGTGCGAGTCTTCGCCGATCCAGATTTCCTCGTTCCCTCGACAGGGACAGAGGATGGTGTCGCCGAAGTCGAAGAGCATCCAGACATCCTCGAACGTGACCCTAGGCGGGATCCCCAGCTGTATGTCGTCGTAAAGCCTGCGTTTCTGGCCGAGGTATCTGTCGATGAAGGCCATGAGCTCCCTGAAGTGTAGGAGGGCCTTCTTGGAGTCGTAGAGCTCGACTGCATCCTCCCGGCGCTCGGCATCTTCCTCCACCTCGGCTGTGGGCTCCTTGGCCGATGTCTCGACGCTGCTGCCAGGTGTTACATTCTGCCCGGTAGTCGCGGCGGCGCCATCCGACTCTGTCCTCTCCAAATCCGGTGTCGTTTTGACTTCCTCCGGCCGAGGAGTGGCAAAGCTCTGTCCATACTTTGCCTCCAAAACATCGAGCTGGTGCTGGATCGCTGCGGCATTGCGGATGAGCAGCCGGAACGGTTTTGAGGTCTGCGTAATGGAGAGGCAATCAACCTTGAAGTTCATCTGCCTCTCGAGGAAGGATGCGATGGGCCGCGAGTTGATGCGGATGCCGAGGACGTCCACCTGTGCCGGGTCGGGCTGGAAGAGGCTGTCGTGCTTCTTGGGGTTACGGTACGTTTCGTTCCACTTGAATAGGACGCGCAGCACATAGTGCGGGTTCTTGGAAATGAAGGATTCGCTTTCGTCGCAGAAGGGGCCCTTGCGATCCAGTTCTGTAAACACGAGCGTCTCTTCGTGCTGGTAGTCGTGGAATGATGTTAGGACTTGGTCCTCGTCCACATCGGCATCCCTTTTGCTGTCCCTGCCATCCGACGCACTGCCATCCATTTTGCTGTCCTTGCCCTCCGACGCCCTGCCATCCCCATCGCGATTCTCGCCACTGCCACCTTTTGTCGCTTCTGTGCCGGACTTTGCGTGCTCAGTTTCGAGTTTCCCGATGCGCTTCTCTAGCACCCGCATGTAGTCGGCCAGGCCTTTGAGCAGCGCGGGGCCCTGGTTATCCTTTTTCTTGTGGCCCTTCTTCTCCAGGAGTTTCTGCCTTCTTTCGAGCTTCATGCGGAACGCTTCATACAGGTTTTTGGATTGCAGCTCTGACGCCCACCCGATGGTTGAACTTAGGGCGTAGACGTCCTCGTCGCCACTTTCGAGTTCCCCCTCCGTGTCAGAGGGAGACCCTTGCTCCTCACGGAGCCGCTCGGCTCGCGGCTTTCTGGGCTTCTTCCTTGAATTCTCCGTCTGCCCCTCCTGTGGAACCATTCCGTCTTGCTCGACCGCAGGGCCCTTGCTGGCGTCTGCTGGCTGCTCTTGCTCCGCCTTGCCCATTTGAGCTGAGCCGGTATCGTCGGCATCGGTCCCGCTGGATTTACCGTCATCGGGGGCGGTATCTGTGGCCTCGGTGCTCTCTATGGACTTGACAGTGCTCCTCGAGTCCGTCGTGCCTCCGCTTCTGTTACTGGTGAAGCTGGGCGCCAAAGCACCTTGGTCATCGTCATCTTATGGAGCGGCCTTTGTTAGGACGAGCTTGTGAAAATCCCACCCACTGTCACTCAACTGCGAACACAAACCTTTGTCGCTAGATGCAGGCTTGTTTGATTCCTTCACTGACAGCAAGCCTGTGACTTTCGACTCATCTCCGACGTGCTGATTGGGTTGTTCGACCATTTCCGGCGGCACCTTCGGTGGATTCTAAGCCCATGTATATATCGGCAAGGAGAATTACGGGCAAGAAAACTGTTGCGATCCTTGGGGTGTGAAAGCACGACGGGGGCCTAGTCGGCTCTCGTGGTCATCTAATAGTTCGAGGCAAGCCCTCCCCCCATCCGAGGACGCGCGCAACCCACCCCGCAGCCTGCCTTGGGTGGCACGCAGGAAATCCCGCAAAGTGGTGGTTTGCCCAGATTGCAGATGTGTTTGTCCAGCTATGGGGCGAATCACAGGGGGTTATTGCCTTTCCGGCTCCTGCCCGAGGTGTCAGCCTGCATGATGGCGTTCTCCGCTGGTGGCATTCGAGGACAGGCACCCAATGGCAGCGGCCGCTCTCTGAGGTCGGGCGAATCCTCGAGCAAGCCATCTGCATCAGCTCATGCACCTGTTCCCGCCAATGATGCCGAGCGCGACTGGCGATCCCGAGATAACAATGAGCCCCGCGGCGATCACCGCCATGTCTTATGTTGGTTCCATTTGCATCAGCCCTAACCACCGACCCAACAAATTTCTGCGCGAGCCTGGCAGCCAAGGAAACATGTCACAGGACATCTCGACGGTGATGCGCCCGCGGGTGCTCTCCAACAGCGCGGCCGAGTTCGTCGAAACGCGGGCCCAGCGAGCCCTAGGCGCCGAGCTTGCTCGCGACCAGGGGCCGGGGCCTCAGTACGTGTCTGAGCTGGACAAATTTGTACGCAGGGAAGACATTGTACAGTAAGCAGACATCGCTTTTGTTTGTTGCAGATTTCCTCACATCTAACCGTGAGGTTGCAACCAGGGCAGACTATTACGCCGAGTCGCAGAAGAAAGTAGCGGCCCTCAAAACTCGGCTCGTCGACTTCAGCAAGAAGATGCATGGGTTGGACAATGGGTACAAGATTGCTCACAAGGCCCCGGAGCAGTACGGCATGAATGACGTGCTCGATATCGTGAGGCGCATCGAGAACAAGCACCGTACCCTAGACAAGGTCATGAGTTGCTCGGGCATCATCCGTCGGTGCTTTCGGGCCGCGGGCGAAAACAGCGGCGCCATCGAGGGGCTGCTGTCTTTTGCGCCCAACGATATCTACGGGTCCGTTATCTCGGGCGGCTTCACTCTGATCCTGGGAGCCTTGGAGCGTGCCGACAAGATACGGAGCGACATTTATGGCGCGGTGGCCGATGTGCCCTACAAGATCATGGAGGTGAAGGATTTGCTCGGCGTCCATATCAGGTCGGCCGAGCTGCAGCGGCGAGCAGACACGGTCTTTGTAGCTGTTTTCGATGTGCTCTTCGCCATCGTGGAGGAGCTCTCTAAAAACCTGGCAAGTGAGTAGTCTCCCATCTTAGTTCGTGGTCCGCTATTCCCATGGCCTGCCCTCGTGGCTTGGGCTATTGGTTGCTGCTGGCCGGCATTCCTTTCATGTCCGCTAGCTGCTTTCGGACTCCCGCTCATTCCTGTCACAGAAAAGGGAGTGTCTCTAATTATAAAGGGCAGCCGGTATGGCACCGAGATTGACGACGCGATCAGTGCTCTTGAAGGTAGCCTCAATAGCTTCAGGATTCAGGCCAAGATCTGCGACTCCCAAAGGCTCGGGAAGATGGACACGCGTGTCGCGAGAGCAGCCCTGGCGGCAGAAAGCACCGAGGACATAGCGTTGGAGAACCAGGTCAAATTGCAAGGCAAGTGCAGTCGTAATGGTTCACTTCCAGGCGCAAACGGGGGAACAAAAATTGCCAGCGGGCGACTGACTATCCTGCAGGCATCGAGAACGACGTCAAGTCCATCTGGGAGAAACTGAACATGATCGAAAAGGTCGGGTTACTCACGCTCGAGGAATCGAAGACCAGGCAGGTAGCCAGGGACAGTGTATACCAGGTGAACGTGTACAACCAGCTCTACATGCTCTGCACAGGCAGCCCCATTTTCGATGACCGGGTCGGGAATTGTACGTCGACCTGTCTTCTCGACCCTTGGGAGTAGATACCAAACGTAACTGCTGACAGGACCTGCCGGTGCTTGCAGTAAACGTTGCGCAGTACCGCAGACGGGTGGAAGACCTGGAACAGTCCGACCAGAGGCGGGCGCAGAGGAACAAGGAGACGGTCAAGAAGTGGCTTGTGCGACTCGACAACGCGCACTTGCCCACGACCGCAGACCAGGAAAGCATCATCGACCAGTTCAAGGCGTCAGTGCAGGCCGAGCAGGACAAGGTCCAGTACCTGCTCATGTCGGAGCAGCTGGGCACGTGGATCAAGACGCACGAGTCCATGGTCCTGATCTTGCAGAACAAGTCGGGCCCAAGCCTGTACGACGCCGTATCCTTCGTGTCGGCGTTTATGTACCGCAGTCTGTGCGCGCTCTACCTGTCCAGCTGCCCGGTGCTGGGCTTCTTCAGCGGCTGCCGGGCCGTCGACGACTCGACCAGCAGCGGCACGGCCGGGCCGGACGGCATGCTAGCAACCCTGCTGGCGCAGTTGCTGGACAGGGTGGAGGGGCGGGATGACGTCGACATCTCGTCGCTCGGCGACCCGCCCAGGGTCCTGGCCGGCAACAGCACAGACCGAGTGGCGTTCCTCGCGGACCGGCTCCGGCAGCTGATGGGCGTCCTCCCAAAGGGCGATTCGGTCATCATCGTGCTGGATTCGGTGTGGCATATGGCCGGGGATGAGGAGGACCAGGACGCGGCGCTCGCGCACGTTCTGGACCTCGTGCCGTGGGCCGAGGAGACGAGCGGGGTCGTGGTCAAGATATTGGCGACCAATTTTCTCAGCCACAGGCCTTGGGAAAGCCACGAGGGCGACGACGGGCGGTTTGCCTATCTGGAACTGCCCGAGCACGTGGATAGCGGTGGGATTGTCATTAACCCTGAGAACCTTGACGCTTGCCGCGATTTCGCGCGTGAGCTGGAGCTAGCGTAACAGGCAGGCGGCGGGCGAGAGTGCGCGAAGAATGGAAGATTCTCCTGCTGTTTTTTTTCGGGCGTTTGGTCGAGTTTGTGACACCGTGTGCTTTCTTTTCTCGTGAAATGTTACCTCAGATCCCAGGTCAGAATTCTGTTCGCCGCTTTTGCAGATTTCCGTGCCCTGCAGAAGCATTCACGGAGCCAATTTACATTTACCACAGGGTCACGAAACAGCTTCTCTTTCCATGATCCTTCTCGTGATAGCCAGATCAGAAACCGTCGGTGCGAAAGAAGTTGATGTTGGCAACCGAGCGCCTCGTTGTGCCTATAGCACCCGATCTTGCCATGACATGCCTTCTTTGTAATCATGGCTGAGTCACGAAACTCAACACTATAAAATTTTTAGGGTCCTGCTTTTGGTGGGAGGCAGCCTTCCCCCGAAACATCAGCAGAACAGGAAGTAAGGCCATGGCGGGGAAAGATAAACTCACCATACTTCCTATGTCGTCATCAACACCCGCGACGCAGAGCTCCGGGGCCGCACAGCCCAACCAGCAGCCCAAGCCCAAGAGGAAATGGCACACTACAGCCTGGCTCTACAAGGAGGTCGACCGCAGGAGATGCCTACGCACAATTACCCCTACCCTCCTCGAACCGTCTGGCCAGCCCGTCACGAGCGGCGGCGAGGTCGCCGTGCTTGGCACCTTCTGTTGGACCCCCGAGAGGGAGGTCAGGGTTCCCAGCCGCGAACCCATCTTCCAGCACGTCGCCCTCCCGGCGGTGCTCCCCCCGGTGGGCAAACCGCGCGGCATGATCCCCTCCGGCCGCGCCATGCGCCGCCCCCAGCGGGGTAACAAGGCAGGAGGCGTCAACTCCAAGCTCAAGGCCAGCGAGACGGGTAAGCCCGAGCCCGCCACCGCCACCGCCGCCGCCGCCGCCGCCGACGCCAACGCCATGCCGCCCCACAGCCTCGCGCCCCTGGCCCAGGCTATCGCCACCATGTCCCCCTCGCACCGGCTGCGCGGCACGGACCTGGTCGTGCAGCGCAACAGCCTGCGCAAACTGTTTGCGCTGTGCGGCGGCCAGAACCCCGATAGCTTCCGGGTCGGGCTGCAGCTCGTCCGCGACAAGACGCTCGTCGTCACCAAGCAAGACATGCTCACCTGGCACCCGTCCGCCACGCGCGCCTCGGGCGTGGGTCTCAGCTTCGAGCGGCTCTTCACGAGGGCGGCCGAGCCCGGGCGCGAGGGCGACCAGTCCCACCACCGCGTCATCTCGTACGACCTGGGCGGCCTGCGCTGCGTGGTGCAGTTCGAGGTAGACGCGTGCTACTATGATGGCGGCGAGGGGAAGATGGCGACGGGGAGCGAGGCCGACGACGCAGCGAGAGGAGGGCTTACGATAGAGGAGAAGCTACTAGCCCTCAGCCTCGAGCCGCCAACACTCGCTGACACAACGCCGCCACCGACTGCGGCGGCGACGGCGGCGCCGGCGCCGGTGGTGCTCGACTCCGCCGGCGCCGCCCCCCAGTCGACCGTGGCCGAGATGAAGACGTGCAACGCGGGCAAGCGGCAGAGCAGGCTGTCCGGGGCGCTGCCGCAGCTGTGGTTCGGCCGCACGCCGTGGTTCATCCAGGGCAGACGCGAGGGCAACGCCGTCACCGTCGTCGACGTCACCGATGTGACGCGTCGCTTCGCCGACTGGGAGGAGAGGCACCAGGAGACGCTGCGCCGCCTCGTCACCCTCGTCTGCGAGCTGCGCGACAGCGTCAGGGCCGCCGGGCCCGGGTGCAAGCACTGCGTTCTCGTATACGACAGGGCGGAGCAGGACGAGCGGGTGGATGGGGAGCCGCAGCAGCGCGTCGTGCGCATTTACAGGGCCAACGTCCCCAAGGCCAAGGAGCCTATTCCAAGGGATTTGGTGGAGAGGCTTTGGGGGCCGGATTGATGGCTGAGCTTGGGCAGCTGTAAAATATGGATGGCGTATTTCGGACAAAGGATCCGCCGTAATGGCCAGCTTCCAGTTGCGCACCGGCCTTCATATTGAAAAAGAGTAACATGCAATCGAATAAGTATGTAGAGGCCATCGACGTCATTACTATCTCTCTGGCCGTCCATCACAGCTCGTCCTTCCGAAAGAAATGCTCTTCGCTACCAGATTCAGCTTCGTCCGCACCTTCCTTCTTCTTCTCCTGCCTGCCCTTTTCCTGCTTTTCCTTGCTCTGCTTTTCCTTGCTCTGCTTCTCCGCTGCCTGGCTGTCCTGCTTCGCCTGGCTATCCAGGAAGTCCTGCGCGCGCTTGCCGGCAGCGGCGGCGTTGTTACCGGCCTTGTCCCGCCTGACGCCGGACCTCCTGCCGCTGTCCTGGGCGTCGTCGGCGGCGGCCTTGGTGTCCTCGTACGAGTAGCCGTCGTAGCTGAAGAACTGCGGGTGCTCCGGGTCGAGCACGATGGCACGGATCTCGACGCCGCGGCCGGGCTGGTCCACCATCTCGAGCTTCCAGCCGTGGTCGGCGGCCAGGCCCTGCAGCTCGTCGCGCAGCGCCTCGACCACGGCCGGGTCTAGTCCGAGCGACTCGAGGTCGTGGTCCAGCACCACCTCGACCCGGCCGCCCTCGGCCTTGCTCTGGCCCACGGCGAGAACCTGCACCTGCGGCGCATTGGGCTCGGCGCCCGCCACCCGCGCCCCGGTCCGCCTGCGCGGCGGCGGGTTGAGCTTGACGGCGCCCTGCCCGTCCTCGGACCGCCCGAGCATGCTGCGGCTCCCGATGACCTGCCCGCCGATGTTGACGCCCTTGAAGTCGCGGAGGTGGCGCTGCGGCTTGCCGCCGCCGCCCTGGGGGGCCTGCCGCGTGCCGACCGGAGGACCCAGCGCGTCGGCTGCCGTCTCGGGGAGGCCGCCGCCCCAGCCCTCGACGAGCAGGCCGCGCGCCTCCTCGGCCGAAGTCACGACGCGGCGGCAGGTGATGGGATGCGAGCGGACGGGCTTGGGAGGCCGGAAGGCGCCGTCCTCGCAGAGGCGCGGGGTCTGAACCATCATTAGGTACGTGCACGTCGTCACCTCCTTGATCCAGTTGACCCTATCGACCGTGGTCCCGGGGGCGCAGTGGTACTGTATCTCGATCGTGCGCGGGCGGCTGGTGAGGTCGCACACGGTGCCGCCGTCGAGGCGCTGCACCAGGTAGCGCTGGTCTCCTTTAACTACCATCTCTGTCGTGCCCGCGGGAATGTGTTTTGAGCTTCCGCTCTTCTGCTGCAGCACCGCCTGCTCCTCCCTGCCCGCGGCGTCAATGTCAAAGCCGCCGTGACGACCTCCAGCCCCGCCGTTCTTGGCGCTCCCCACTAAACTGTCTGCGTTTTGGGGCAGCGACCTGCCAAGAACGTATTCTGGGGCGGAGGGGTCCCGGACCGGAGAGCCGCCGCCCTGGGGGGGTAGCGCGTGGAACTGAACGACATCGCCGTTGTAGCAAAACGTGTAGCTCCACCAGCCCGACTGGTAGAAGAGGCACTTGCCCTCGAGGCCGCCCATAAGCTCCCAGCCGCGTGCGGCAGCGCGCTCGACTTCGCGTGCCTCCTCGGCCTTGGCGAGCTCGGTAGCGGTGTGGTTCGGCGCGGCCGTCGGGGCCAGGACAGGCGTTGCGCAGAGAAAGCGGAAAGGTGGGTGGTTGATCAGCTCGTACTTCTCCGCGAGCACGACGGTGCTGTCGTCGTCGTCGTCGTCGCTGCCCGCATCTTGTTTGCTTGTCGTGTCGTCCTGCACTTCCTGTGTCGTCTTCTTTACCGAGCTATGCGCGTCGGTGGGGGCCGACTCGGAGGATATCGTGGCCGAGGTGAGTTTGGTCTTGCCTTGCAGGACGGCCAAGGCCTCGTCTTCCCATATGAAGGAGTTTGAGAATACGACATCGAACTGAGGAAGGGCCACTTGGGATTAGCTCGGATATTTCCCATAGTCTGCGGTTTCGCAGAGCACGCATGGGGCGGGCACATACCTGAGGGTGTGCCAGCATATCCTCGTGGATGCTGAAGGCGTGGTGACGTGCGCTGCACAAGCGCAGGCCAGCGACCACCAACAAGAGCTCGAGACGGCGCATTGTGCCCACTGTGCCGTGCCGCCGCTCACATGCGAGAACCGTCTGTCGCAGGAGGACCGGTCACTTGGCAGCTGGTGAGATGGTGTTTGCTCAGAGACGAGTACCGTCACGGTCAAATTAGAGTAGAAGCTGGCGCACCAAGCTGCTGCGGCGATGTTTAGGTGTCATCATCAGTAATGCGATGTCCAACGCAATTGCCCCACCCCTGATTCGCCCACTTTGCGAAATCGGGTGGGTCTTCAGGTACAACTATGTAGAAACACGTGACGTCGCGCCCATTTAAACCCCCGGCGCCATTTATCCTTATCATCCGTCCAGCCTTGCCCCCGCAATTCCATATCCCATTCGAGCCTCGTGTTAGCCTGCGGAGTTCGGCGATATTGCCCCTAGAAGGGGATAGATTGTCCACGAAGCCAGCCACAGCGTAGCCTCTGCATAGTATCCTTGACGTGACATGCATTCTTTGTCGCGCAGACGATGGCGTTGATATTGTCTCACGAATTGGTCTTGAGAAGGGGAGGGAGTGGGCATTTTGGCAATGCAGGAGTCCGAAACCCACCGTGTGTTCGATCGATTCCCGATTTTATATCCCTAAAATGTGCGCTGCTGTTCCACGTGACGACCCGGCGCGTGCTTGTTGAGGACTCCCGTCCACGCCTGCTGCCTTCACTTCCCGCCTTCACTTCCCGCCCTGGACCACCGCGATGCCTCCAATACTGCTCTCCCATTAACAGTGGCGTCACTTCCCTTCCCATACTCGCATTGCGCACAGCAGATGCGCCTTTTCCCTTCCCGTGTCTTTCTTTTGATGTTCTAGTGACTTTAATAACACACCCTCTTTGCCAAACCGTGCCGTCCCCCTCCACAGCGAATATGCCCTCGCCCGACCATGTGGTGGTCGCTTCTGGGGCAACACGTACAAATGAGCCACCAGTTGAGATGACGGGACCGTCCACAGCTGCCATATACCCCTTTGATACTGACGGTCCTCGTCAAGCCGAGGGTCGAGTATACATGACGGGATACAAGCTCACCGCACTTGCCACTGGGTACGTCATTGGTGAAGATGGAACCACCTCCTCTCCGCGGAAAAAACCACTGACCCGCTGCCCGGCCACCGCAGCATTACACTCGCGCTGTTCCTTTCCGCGCTGGACACGACCATTATCAGCACCTCTCTCGTGTCCATGACGAACGACCTCGGCGGGTTCGACCAGAGGAATTGGGTCGCCACAGCATACTTGCTGACCTATACAGGTACGGACTGGTCGCACGCGTAAAGGCCCGCTCGCGAGGTACTGACAGCGAAGCATCCAATAATCAGGCTTCTTGGTCGTTCTCTCAAAGTTCAGCGACATCTTAGGACGCAAGTCTATCGTGCTGGCGTCCATTGCCATCTTCACCATCTTCTCCATCGCCTGTGGGTCGGTTTCGTCCATCTTGGCCCTGTATGACTGCGTCCATCTTCTCCCTATCCCTTCCTATTCCTGGGATCGAATCGGTTCTGACCTTGGAAACGCCCAGAATCATCAACCGATCATTCCAGGGAATCGGCGCTTCGGGTATGTACGCTATGGGCAACGTCATTGCCCCCGAGATTGTACCTCCTGAGCAATGGGGAAACTACACGTCCATCATGCCTTTGGTCATGGTACTTAGCTCGGTCCTGGGTCCTATCTTGGGAGGCTTCATGAATGACTATTTGTCCTGGCGCTGGGTCTTTTTCCTCAAGTGCGTTCACGTCCTTTTCTACCATTCTTTTCGGGAGTCCTTTCTAACCAAGCCATATGGTCTCTGCAGTGGCCCTTTTGGCGTCGTTATCTTCGCAATGGTCGCGCTCGCCATGCCCACAAACTTCCCGAATCACGGCAGCATGCTCGCACGTCCCGAGGAGGCCCTACATGCGCGGGTTGCGTCGTCCCGCCGCTCGCTTGCCCGTCTCGATCTCATCGGCGCGTTTCTGTTCCTGGCCTTCTCCATTCTTCTGGTGTTTGGATTCGAGCAGGGCGGCCGCCGGTTCCCTTGGCAGAGCGCCGTCATCATAGCGTCCATTACCCTGGGGGCCGTTCTTTTCCTTGCATTTATCGTCTGGGAGAGGTTTGCCGGTGCCAGCCAGGGATCGACCAGGGAGCCCATCTTCCCTCTTCGTCTCATGAAACATCGGCGATTCGTCGGGATGATCCTGTGAGTTACCATGTCTATCCAGTTGGTGTCACTGCAAGATTTCTCCCTACTGACGAAGCCCCGGTTGCGCCTCTGCTCCTTAGAGTCGGGTTCCTGACGGGCGTACCTTTCATGACGATTCTCATCAACACTCCGCAGCGCTTTCAGGCCGTCAACGGCCTGAGCGCCTGGAATGCTGGCCTCCGCACCCTGTCTCTGCTCCTATCCTCGGCCGTAGGCACGCTCATATCCTCCCAGCTGGTTGCCAAAGCAAAGATTCCGCCCAGCTACGTGCTCTTTGCCGGAGTGGCGCTGCAGGTACTTGGTGTCGGTCTCGCAAGCACCGTTGGCCCCGACGACATGCCGCATTTGTATGGCTACGAGGTGTTGATGGGAGTCAGCTTTGGCGTGACGCCGGCTATGCTGGTGGTACTCGTCCCTTATACGGTTGAGAGAGATGATCTTGGTGCGCCTGATTACCCAAAAACTAGCCATCCCCTAGTCCATTTGCAGACTAACTCTCAGTGATCTCCCTAGCTGTCTGTATGGGAGCAGTAACGCAGGTCAGGGTCTTGGGTGGTACCATCGGCCTGGCGATCTGGTAAGTGGTGTCTCTTGTGTCCTCACCCCCCCC